AATAAGTTAAACGAGGTATCGTAATCAAATTTGTTGGAAGGGGGAGGGCGGAGGGCGTATTTGTAAACATACGTGTTGGTTTGGGAGGCATATATTCAATATCTGGAACATCGTCCTTTTCGTCCTCTGTAGCAACGACTTTGGGCGGACCTGGCAGCACTTCAGGGGTGCTCTGCTTCAATTTTCGAGTCGCTGAAGGTCGCTTTGTGGTCTTGACTGGTTTAGATGTACCCAAAGGGGGTGCTGGGGTTTGGAAAGCTTGCGCCTTCGCATTTGTCGTTTTCACTCCTAAGGGAGCACGACTTCGTGGGGCTATACCAGAAAGAAAAGAGGGTGTCAGATCCGGCTGCACTCTATCGAAACGCAGAGAATAGCAAGAAAAACTTACCCATAGGCGTAACGAACGCATTCCCACCAGCAATTGCATCCTGCCCTGACTTCAGGATATTCTCGTTCTGTCCATTATTCGGTTTTCCTGTCTTCCTTCCCCCACCAAAGACCAGAGGATTATTCTCGTCATTCAAGGATAGCCCGAAGGGTGTTTTCGGTGCTCTGTTACCGGGTGTCTTTGGTTGTAGCTGTCTGGTACTCTGGTTCAGGGGTTTGGCAGCAGCAGCAGTCTGATGAGCATGGACAAGGTTTTCTTGATCTCTTGCGGCCAGCATTTTGAGTTGAGCGATGTGTTTCACTTCCAACAGGCGGACTCTCCCGCCAGATGTGAGGGAGTAATTTCTTGAATGAATCACGTCTGAAGAGTAGACGCAACAGAGTTGTGATTTCAACGAGACTGGCTTCCTTTCTGGCGGGTTCAACAGTCAATGTTTTGGTCTTCTGTTGGCAGGGAAACCGCGTGTCTCTTACATAACACATTACCTAATCCATCATTCTTGCACGCTAACCAGCTAGTCAACTAACTCTGCCGCTAACTCTCTTGCTTTGACCCGCTAACCTTCCCCTGCAACTCACCCAACAAATAATAGTCGGACATCCCTCATCTTGTGTTGTATCTTCTGGTCTCTTGTTTCTGCCTGCTGTCTCTCGTGGCTTTCTATACCCAACCAGCTACCACGTCTTTTATTCATCTGCCTCGTTGACCGAGCACACTCTTGTTTACACTCTCTTCACTTAAAACTCGACCGCCCTAACAAACATCTTTCAACATGGATAGAATCAAGGAGGTCTGTATTCCCTGTCTGTTTATCGCGGGGTAACATCGAAGCGGGTGGCCCCAGAGCTTTCCTCCATTTCCACTCAAACCTCCTATAGCAACCGGATCTCTGAAGGGAAGAAAAGGAGGGGTGGGGAGAGTGCGGTTGTTTCCATTGCATTCGCTCACTCCCAATTAAATTACTTACATAGATGTATTTTAAAGCTGACCTTTGTCTACTTTTTTCCCCTATTGGGAAATTTAGAAAATGAACACCCTCCGTCTGGAGGCCGACGATGCCCACGCCAAGGTCGAAGAGCTACAGAACAAAGTCAAGGCTCTCGAGCAGGAGAATCTGGCAAAGGAACAAGAAATCAAATCCCTCACTCACCGGAACCAGCTGCTGGAGGCCGATGTCGAGAAGCTCGAGGCTGATCTGAAGGATGCCAAGGCGTCGGCCTCCGAAAATGCTCAACACGGTACACAGAACGAGTCCCTGCAAAGACGTCTGCAGCTCCTCGAGGAGGAGGCCGAGGAAACTGACAAGACCCTTCGTGAGACGAATGAGAAGTACGTATTGGTTATCTCCCCCGTTTTCCATTTGAGTTTCCTAGATGTATTCTGTTGATATAAGGCACTGATTGACTCAACCACTTGCTATGGACAAATAGGCTTCGCCAAACTGACGTCAAGGCTGGACATTACGAGCGCAAGGTCCAGGCGCTTGAGACTTCCCGTGACCAATGGGAGGCTAAATATGAAGAGATGTCGAAGAAGTATGAGGATTTGCAGAAGGAGCTGCGGGACCTGGAAACTCTCATGGGCAATGTGTAGATGATGGGGGAGGGGGCGGGGTGTATACGAATATATTCATATCAAGTTTCTTCTTTCTAATTCATTTCCGCTTGTGTCGCTCTCTCCATCCTTGATTACGATCTTGTGCTTCCAGCTTGCGGTTTAAAATGTCAAAAGAAAGAAATCTTCCAAAGAACGTGCCACTGTTCTAGTGCTGAAGCTACTATATTATGTCCTCTATTTTATTCCCCAATTTTACAAGCATAATTTACTTTCCCGGCTGTAGTATATACAAAGCCTTAATGAGATTCGATGAGTTGTTGTAGCCCTTTTGCCCAACGCATCCGCCCATAAGCTCTTCAGATGGCAAGGGTCAAATCCGCTCACATTCATAAAAGTTTCAATCAGCTTATTTTATTCCATTAAATATAATTCAATAGAATACATACTTCGCACATGTCTTCGGGAATTTATGCCCCCGCTTTCCTCTCCCTCGCCCGCTTCTTCCCACCAGCCCGCTCCTTCAGCTTCGCTACCCTCCGCTCCGCTTTATTCTCGTATCGGAAACTCCGCTTCTTCTTCTTCGAATTACTTTTCGGCCGATCTGATATATTATTCTTATCACCATCACCGCTTATGTTCGTGTTCTTGCTCTTGTTCTTGGTCCATGCTCGTTTCTTCACCCTCGATGTATCCCCACCATCCTCCCGCCCTCCCTCCTCTACCTCATTCCTCGTCTCCCCATCATCGCCACTTTCTCCTTCGTCACTACTCTCCATATCAACTCTTCTCCTCAACCCTTCCCGGGAAGAAGCATCCAACTCCTCCACCGTCACCGTCGTATATTTATCCTCGTCGATATATTCCGCTTCATAATCCACTGGTGGCGGCTCGGTTATTCCCCCCCACTCCTCATCAATAATAATATTATCATTACTCTCCCCACCTTCGTCGGAACTACTCTCCGCAGCGGCAGCCCGACTTATCTCCCGCATCAACGATTTGTTCTCCGCAAGGGCCCGTTCGAATTCCGCACGGCGCTCGTCTCGCATCTATTCATTTTCTCCCCGCAAAACATAATTAATACACGCCATCACCAAACGTAATCTCTCTCCCCCTTCTCAAACAAAGTCATTATCAAAGAGAAGGAGAAACAGGGTTTTTTTTTTCTTTTTTTTTTTTTAACTAACCCGCCGCCTCTGTTCCTTCTTCTCCTCCTTTGCTCTCTTCTCCGCATTCTCCTGCGCCTGCTTAGCGCGCTCGAGCTTGCGTTTATGGAAACCTGTCAGAAACTCCGCCCGCGCCTGGGGATCGAAGAGGATCTCCTGTACAGCGTTGGGGTGCGAGGCGGTCAGTTTTCGCCTTTTGGCCGAAGGCGCCATTTTGTGCTTTCCGATTGTGTTTAGGTGGCTATTTTCAATTGCTTGGGTTTTTGTCGGTTCCGCAGGCAAATATCGGGTATTAGATACGTATGGGATTTGGGAAAGGATAAATTAATTAGGAGGAGAAAGCGTGTGTTCGTTGAATGGTTTTATTTAGCTACTCGTATTTAATCAATACAGTGCTATGCAAGAATTTGAAACTTTTGTGACTTCTCATCAATATACACTAGTTCAAAAGTAGTTTAGTACATATTAGTTAGTGGTAATTATAGTGCCATATGATATCTAAATTAGACTCATTTAACATCCTTCACCACTTTCTGCCATGACGCTAGCTCTAAAAAATATATGTATCGTGAGCATGCCAGAATACAGAAATTTAATACCAAAACCCGGGGTATGCTTTTAAATGCTTTAAGAATAGCATAGAAACGGCCTTTTATGCGAAAAATCCTGGATCTGGCGAGAAATCCCCCCTGTCTGTTGTAAACACAGTTTAATTTAATAACCCCAACAAACCAAAGTATTACAGTAGCAGCTGGATCGGAAAGTCATGGCCCAGCATCCCTTATTACCTCAGCGCTTTTATAGACGCAAGCCTTAGTTCCACTATCTCCTTCATCAGGCTCCAATATGAAATATCATGCAGCTAGCCAACCATTCATTAAAATCCTACGCTTTGTGAAATTTCCCTAAGTGCATCTTTCCAGTGAGAAGCCTCCACGCCCACAATGCATCAACGAGAAGGATATCAAAAAAGGAAAACAAAAGGCTGCCTCCAAATACGATGCTGTGATATGTCCATGCATTTTGCGCATCGAGGTTTGCGACCTGGCAGACAGTTGCCCACGGAAGCACATAGAGGAGGTTGGAAAGGAGTGATTGGTATAGATACCACGACGGACGGGTGGCCAGGAGAATAGATGCAAGCTGGGTTGAAACTGCATAGAATATATAGCACCTTTGCTAAGTCAGCTATGCTTCCAAGAGGCGTCGGATACGGGTTTAACATACCAGTCAATGGTTCTCCACATATGAGCCGTGATTTCAGCGACGGTCTGGGAGCCACTCAGGTAGAAAGCAAATGGCCGGCAAGCATAGAAGGCCAAAAAGAGGCAGAGTGGGACCTCTATCAACAAGGCAAGCACTGCTGACAACAAGGCAGGAAAAACAATAACTTCAGGTGCATATATCAGCTTCCAGTCGGATGCTAAGGGGGATCACTAAAAACCCCACCTAGGAGGTCTCTGCGGCCACACTTCGGCCTTCTCTCGTTTATTCCAATCTCGTGTCTCCAACGTCCCCAAGCATGACCTACAAAGGCCAAGGAAGCATTCTCCAGTGACTGGACAGGGACCATTATCAGGCCCCAGCGAATAGTGTTGAAGACACCCCACGCTGTCGCGTAGCCAGAGCCCATGGCGACAATCCCAGTGACCAGCCAAAGGTAAAGCGCGTTCCTGATCGCTGATTCAACGAAAGTGATAAATCCTGGCCGAGCCAGCACCAGCAGTGCCGTGAGAGAAGGGGGCGATGCTCTCCAGGTCCATTTATGCGCAAGCTTGTCGATGCTCGTAATGCTGAAGAAGTAAACCACACCGACAATGGCGGAGGTCATATCACAGGCAAGCCGGATCGATGCCTGCATGGTAACCGTCGGCCTATGGCTCCCAACATGGAATTTAGAAATAATCAAAAAATCAAGAACAATGTTGATTGCAAACTTTGTCGAGCTGATGATTAGTGGAATATCCGGCTTATCCAGAGCCCTCGTAGAGTTCGCGACGGCAACCTCAATTGTAGAACTCAGTGCGGAAAACGCGCTGATGCGGACATAGTTGATAGTGACATCTTTGGCAGCGCCGGGCACGAATGCGTCAGAAAATCCCCGTGCGGCCGATACAAAAATGACACTCATAATCAGGCCAAGGAGCGCCTGGAATGCAATGAGAGAATGGGCAATTCCCAACCGCGACTTGAATGACCGCTTCACATCGCCGATGATAACCCATGCGGCGCGAGGGAGGCCTTCGTTCAACACCTCAACGACAACACCTATATATGTATATGCATCTGTCGTGGCGACCATTGAGGAATCAATATTTGCAACCCACAGCTTCGACAGCGTCCCATACAGGGCCGGAAGCATGAAGGCTCCAAAGTTGAACAGAAGAGCACCAGGGTAACTGGATGCATTTAGCTGGAGGAACAGTTCAAGTGCTTCCTATATATTGCCTCCCTCACCTTGATCGATACCACCATTTCCCATTAATCAGCGTCCATCGCGATCGACCTGGAGCAAAGGCAAGCTCCTCTCCATCGTCTGCAACGGTATCTGAACTGCACCTCTCAACTGTAGGAACGGATTCGTCGTCTGGGAGCATGGTGTAGTAAAATGATGCACAACGTAGCATCAACATTGTTTCAGGGGAACATCTACGATTCTCTTGCGCAGGTTTTCATATTTGAGGCCCCCCATTCCCCTCATTGAGGCGCAACCGACCAAGGTCAATGCGTTGGTTGGGAAGTGGTGCTTCCTAGTTGCAGCAATAAACTGTGTAAACACTAAGTTACTTTGGAACTAGTGTAGATTGATTAGAAGTCACAAAACTTCTTGCGTAGCACTGTATCTCCTCCTCCTCCACCAGCGAAAAAAAAGCTTCTGCGGTGCCAAGGACCGAATATGCCAAGCCTAAGCATCACACATCCCGATCTAAATCCTCCATCAGCTTCTCCAGGCGTGCGAGGTCTGATTCAAATCCATATTCATCACGGATATCACCTCTACTAATTTTCCGGATCTAGTGGGCTATCCTTTACTGAGGACTAGCATCTGTTCTTACAGCACATGCAGCTAAATACGGAGGGTTTTGGTATGGAACGGCTTGCTCGCAATGTCAAATCCTGACACCACATCAAAAAAGAAAAGGCTTTAAAATTCAGATGGAGTGTGCTGCCGCTCTAAGGCATATGCCAGAAAGCCACATTCCGCCTGCGGATGGGGGTTAGTCGATCCACAAACAAATACGCAAGCAATGCTATGAAGGAGATGTAATTCTGCCACGTTGATCGAATAAAAAACAAAAAAATCCATTGAAGAGGGTGTGCGAAGGGTATGCTCCGGTCTTCCAGAGCCATCTGATCAACAACCAGAACCCGGAATTATGAAAACGATAAAACGGGAAGGTTGCTTGCTCTACCTGTGTATGATGCCAGAGGGGCAAACTTGCGTAAGAGATGGGTCGGGGGTGGCACATTGAAGACGACGGCTACCCGTTCCATTCGGAACTTCTATGGCTCGAGGGATCTAGAATCTCGGTCGATGCTTTGACAAACCAGACGCTGGGGCCAGATTCAGGCAGCTTTCGGTTCGGTTCCGGTGAAGTTTGTCCGCTGCGGGAAGTCATAGCAAAGAACAAACAACACTATCTCGCTAATCTGGAGCTAAATTCTGGTATGAAGCCATTTGCCACTCTTGGGTGGTCGGTCTTTGGTGCCATTCCAACTTTCTCGATTTGTCTTAAATTCATGGTAGGGAAAATTCAATCCGGCACTTCTTAAGATGAATGATGAAGAGTTGAAGTTCTGATGTTCTTGGGGGGTTTGTAATACAACGCTATGCTCTTCTTCGTTAGATTCTAGAACGCACGGATCTTCTTTGAATGTTTGCCACACCCCCAAGTCGGCGGCTGACTAATGAAACAGCCTATATAATTGCAAATGAAGGAGCACCCAGTGCCTTCGGGCATCTGGTCATATAGAAACGATACAGAGAAGATTAGCATGGCCCCTGCACTAAGGATGACACGCTCAATCAAAGAGAAGCTACAAGTTTTTTTTGTTTTCCTTACCGATGCCTTTGAAAGGCTCCAGCGTTTTTGGGGTGGTTTCGAATGAGGTAGTGACATCGCGGGTTCGAAACTGGGCGACGGCGGAGGCATTTTATTTCAAGGACGCCATTTTACCAACTCGCTGCGCGATTACGCTACGCTACAGAGATCAGCAGGATCGCGAGAGAAACGATTTTTCCCGATGCTTCAAGCATGGATTCAACCCATCCTGTTGCAGGTCTAGATGGTCGATTCCATGTGGCGAAAGGGACAGCATCCAGAACCCATTGAGTTGTTTCATGAGCCTAAATAAAGCCTAACATATTTAACGCTGCTTATTCTCAAACTCTCCGCTCACAAAGACAAAAAAGAACCCGATCAATTGCAAATTTGCGCTACGGGGGAATACTAGTGGGTTGGAACGGAGCCGGAGTTGGGTAAAGGTTTCCATGGGTGGAACTTTCGTGTGTGCGCATGGAGACAGTGCAAACGGATAAACAACAGGTGGAGTTGGTTTGACGGATGATCCTCGATTTCATTGAAGAAATGCCCAGACCCGAGAGAAGTATGACCATCTACTTACGGAGTACAGGTTACATGTGAATGATACAATAATGACGGGAGAATCGCAAGAATTACCGGACTAGTTTGCCAGGGATCTTGTTTAGTTCTGTACGCAGTATAAGTATCTATTGATTTTATTCCTACTCCCGATCCTACAGTATGGATGAGTTGGTTTGAGCATCATGTATCTCAAGCAGCATGTTATCCCTTCTCCCAGCATGGGTGCAGTGCACTGGTTGGCAAAAGACAAAGGATACAGAATGGATGGCTACTTAGTACCACCCTTCTCCAGGCTCCTTGCTGTGTTCACGGTAGATATAATGGATAGGTACTATAAGTACGGCATGATAATTGAGCTTGAGCATACGGGTAGTAGTCAGCAGGACAAACAGAAACAACCATAATTTTCAAATTTGCCTTTTTTTTTTTTTCTTTTTTGGCGATGTTGTCGAGGATTCGGCTATTGGTGCCGATTTGTAGCTTTTATACTTTTAGCTATATATGTATCTAGATATATAAATATCCCTTGCTCTCATACAGCGCCTGGCCTTTCTTGTTGCCTCCCCTGGTCTCCCTGCTACGGAGCTTCAAAATCTAACGTGAAACAAAAGAAATAATAATACTAAATCACCAATGCGAAATGATAGTATACTTACTATGTATAGATTAACACACACACACACACACACACACACACACACCTTCATATATATATACATACCCATCTCTTTCTGTGAGAAACCTAGCTTTTTAGCTTGCGACTCGAAATACATAAGTACTTCCCTGCTATAGGTACATGTACATGTACCTATCCTCATAGCTTTTGAGAGTGTGTACTCTCCCATCAATACCCCAACTCCTTCCTCAAAAAAAGGGGAGAAATTCCTCCCAAATTACTCAACTATCTCCGATGACGGGCAACAGCGTCAGCATACAACTTGATAGTAAGAAAAAAAATGAGGAAAACTCCCTTTAGACCCTTGCTTATTTCCCTCGAGGGAATAAAGGCGGCGAATTACCGCTTCTAACAAACATTAATATCAGTGTCCCGAAATTCCCACGGGCCCATATTCCTCAACGACAGTTGTGTGGCAGGGACCGTTGTCATTGACAACTGCAACAGCGCACAGTTTGATTCCGTGAGGGTTATTCTGGAAGGTTTGTTATACTTCCTTGCCTGCCTCCTCCAGCTATCACTTGGCGCCCTGGGATTTTCTCCAGCGGCATCAGACCAGGGCGGTATGAGTTAAGATATACGGCTTGAAAAAAACTAGGCACGATACGCAATTCTCTCGGCCCATCAGCAAGGACATACGCACAGGCCAGTCGCATGGAAATGAAACAAAAGGTAACTCGAATCGCTGGCCCCCTCCCGATTTACACAACTATTACGCCCACGGTAACTGATACTCACATGCATATTATCTATTAAAAAAAAAGCTCATCCACATGCAAACCTCGCTGCAGAGAAGAAACCACCAACCAGATGACCAAGGAACAGTAAGGTTTCCGTTCCAATTCACCATCCCCAGCCACATCCTCATCCCCAAAAGCGGCGGCGCTTCGGCCATAGAAATGGTCCACCCGCTCCCCCCTTCGCTCTACATCGATGCCGGCAGCGTCGTCCCCCCATCGATCGAACGGAATAACTTCCGTGGCGAATGTAGGATCACATATACGCTGCATGCCTATCTCATGTGCGACGGCAGGCCGACCACGGGGACGTTCCGGCATATCATGCTGTTTCCGACGCAGGAGCCCCAGCCGCCCTCATGTACGAGCGATTTCCCCGGGGATTATATATTATCACGATCAGCTGTGCTGAGGACCGGGATGCTTTTTCGACGGCGGGGTTTACTATCTGTAGAAACAAGGGAGCCGGCGCCGCTTGAGATGAGTAGGGGAAAGAGCGGGGCATCGACTACCGTCAATCTGACGCTTAGATTTCGCGAGTCGCGAGAGATAAGGAGCTCGTGTGGGTCCATGCCGCTGGCGACTCTGGCTTTTGGTGTGGTTTCTTTAAAGTTGAAGCAGACGACGTTCATCTCTGTTGAGCCCCAACGACGTTTGCCAGCAACCCGAGACCTATTGACGTCGACGGTTATGGTGAAGGATACGAAGATTATCAACGAGCAGTCGCGGAAGATGAAATTTTCGCCGTGGGTAAGAAGTAGATGGAAAGAGGAGCATCAGGCGCAGTGCGCAGGTAACTTTGGATCACAACAATTATTCTCTAATTTCAGTTAGATGAAATGGTTTGCTGATAATTCCTTTTTCTATTGCGTCCGCACAATGACAGCTCAAGAAAGACGGGCTTGGGAAACGAAAGTAACGCTCGTTTTCACGTATTCAGATGATAAACGTCCTGTCCCCACTTTTAGCTCGGCGCTGGTATCCCGGCGGTATAGCGTTCGCATCGCCCTGCATATGGAAGGGGTTTACCACAGGGCTTTGGAGTTGGAAGTACCACTTCAGATCATCTATAGGGGACATGGGCAGGTCCCATTGCCGAACGAAGGCGAATTTGGGAATTCAGAACCTGCGCTGTCTGATGAAACACTGATGCTGTCGGGGGAATCGCGATCTGATACTGCGACTCCAGACGACGAACAGGCACCAGATTATGTTCGGTGAGTTTGGGGGAGAAGTGTTCTCGAGAACGGGGGATTATGCATGAGAACTAGTAGATAGATGTATATTCCAGTAATAAATACTATTTTATATGATTGTGTTGAGGAAATATGTGAAGAATATACATTAACATCCGGGTACTCTTTGTACGCATGTCTCATACAGAAGTTATAAATGTGAAAAGTTGTGATGATGATAGCAATACGCTAAAACTGGCAATCTTAATAGTCATCCCCAAGCAAAAAGACGGTGACCTCATGTTTGTCATGTTTGTTCTTTCAAAGATGTTATGTCTCGTCTTCGTTGAGTTGCACCTTTCAGCTAAATAATGCAAAACAAGAAGCCAAATAAAAGCTGGTATGGCGTCGTCTGTTCATGTCTCAACTACCATCTCTCCACATTCTCCAGTTCTGCTTGCTTAGATTGCCAATACTTCTGACGCGAAGTCTACCTGTTTGAGAAATTCGTAGGGCAAACTACTAGTACCCCGTTTGGAATACCACGGCCTCATGATGATGGACTGCGGAGCCAGAGTGAAATCAACAACACTGATGGCCCTTCTGCTCAGACTCTGTTCAATACGATAATTCGTGCCGTAAGGGATGTTCTCCAGGAAACCCGTCTAACATACGACAACATTAACGCATTCGACTCCTCGATCGAGGTTAATTCTCTTTAGGAAACCCCACTGTTTGAATCTGTTTGCCCAAGGTTAATATTGTATCCTCCCTTGTTTCCCTGCCTGACTGAGAGCCCGATATGGACAAACCATTAAACAAATACGACGGTATGAATGCCTTTACTAGGTTGAGCTACAACGCTGTTACCAAGGCGCTTGATATAAGAACCATGCCTACGCGAACCTACGACTGTCATCAGGCATGGCTTTACAAGGAGATTGACAATATGAAAGCAACGCAGTTCATAACAGCTGCAGGATTCGGCAAGCTGGATTTGATGCTTGGAACTAGTAAATAATTATCATCTGCAGCAACTATGTTATGGTTACTGATTTATATCCATCAAATTTAAGCCATTCAAAGGTCCCAAGGCCGATATGCAGGCTCAGTAAAAGAGCCAGACATGGGCATTGTTCCCGAAGGCAAATATTTTCCGACTGTGGCTATCAAGTCAGCATGGTCTCAGCGTCTCACTCGGTTGAACCATGACATTGTGGTTGCCCACTACGCTGTGGCTGGCGGTCGCAGTGTATAGGTGGTGGGATGGGCGGCCACGCCCACGGGTATATATATCACTATGAGCGCAACCATTTAACAAATGGTTACGTTGACTTGGATAACCTAGTGGCCATGGTGCTATCTTACCACAACATGCGGCTCTGGTTAGTCGGGTCTGCTGGAAAAGTTGAATTGGTGATTTTGTTAAAATGGACCAAAGCGGAAGGGAATTTCGTCAAGGGAAAAATTGAGACTTGGGGCATGGATTCTGAAGGCAGCGAAGTCTTGTTGCAGCGCGAGGTAAGCTAGTTTTGTATAACATCTTCTCCACAGCACAAATGACTGACGACAACCTATATGTAGGAAATTTTCCCGGAACCCCAGACTGGAAGTTCGGACCAGGTTATCCGAGTTACTAGGAAACAGCTCTTCGGCAGCACGCTCCCAGCAGGACGCAATCCCGATTATGTTTTCGGGCTTTCCGTATCCAATCTCCGCTCCAAAGTTGCCATCGCAACGCAGCATGATGGTTACAGACCAGCGTCAAGCACGAGCACTACAAACGGCATTGAAGGATGACTTTTCCATTATTTTCTACTTTCATCTTATCTCGCGCTTTTTTCCTTCGTTTCAAGGCGCTGGGAGGCAATGGAGGTAATCGTCGAATCAGGTAGGACTGGGTATCAAGAATCAACCTGTCCAGAACCATTAACGAAAAAGCATCTGTTGTTGTATTAGTATGAATAGCCCGAATTAGTGACCAAGTTCTTAATGTAGTGTTCTATCTAGTTAAATATGTGTGTATGCTGGTTGATTTTTCCGCCATACATTGTTCCGCTGGCATTCAGATTGGGAAAGGCCTCGGCAGAGACAAATTTCGGCATGCCAAGACGACCGATGCGGCTAGCTCCGCCGCCCAGCGATTGGAATTGCCGAAGCCCGAAGTCGCTGGCCTCCGCATTGGCGCTTTCTCCTCCGCCGTCAATCATCTTGATATCCATGATCTCCAGCTTCAGCGCCATCTTGCACCTCACAGCGCTGTATCCTCACTTCCATTGGGCCATTCGTTTGCCGTTGAGCTTTGGGATCTGTTTTTGGGGAGCGTACCAGTATCGTCCGTTGTTTTTTTTTCGAGCTGGCCTCTCGTCAAGTCGCCAATCATGCCGGCTCAATCGCCGTACCCGCCATTAGAGATTCCAAATATCGATGTATGGACTCTTCTTTTCGAGAATAAGTGGGAGCCTTTCCCTGACGATCAAGGTTTGTTGATAGGTGCAATCTAACCGGCTGTGATCTCACCGATCAGCCGTTTAGAAGCTAAATTCAAACTCTCTTAACTTCTACTAATGCGCCGACGAATAGTGATGCTCGAGGATGCCGATACCCTCCGCTCATACACCTATTCCCAAGTGAAGTCCACCGCCCTGGACTTTGGAATGGGTCTAAAGGCCACTTGGGATTGGCAAAAGGGCGACGTCTTAGCCATCATCTCCCCCAACAACATCGACATGCCCCCCGTGATGTGGGGAGCCCATTGGGCTGGCGGTGTCGTCTCCCCAGCAAACCCGACATATACCGTGGATGAATTGGCCTTCCAGCTCAAGGGGACAAACGCCAAAGTACTCGTTACCCAAATGGCGCTCCTGCCCACTGCCACCGCCGCCGCGAAACTGGCCGGGATTCCTGACAGCCGTATCATCCTGCTGGGCGATGCGCGGGACCCGAGTGCGAAGTTTAAACATTTCACCTCAGTGCGGAATATATCGAAATCCACGAGATATCGCAAGACGCGCATCGATCCAGCGAAGGACCTGGCGTTTCTGTGTTTTAGTTCGGGGACGACCGGTGTACCTAAGGGCGTTATGCTGTCGCATCGCAATATCGTTTCGAATATCCTACAGTTTACTGCTGGAGAGCTGGGGAACCTGAGCTGGGATAGGGATAAAGTGTTGGCTTTTCTACCATTCTTCCACATATACGGTACATAACCGCCTATTCCCAGCCCTCCTTGGTTCAAATTTTCTTTATCGTCCGCAGTATCTAATGTGCAAAACTTCAGGGTTGACCTGCATCATTCACAAATCCATGTACACTGGCTTGCATCTGGTAGTAATGTCCAAATTTGACATCGAAAAATGGTGCGCCCACGTCCAGAAGTTCCGCATCACCTTCTCCTACATCGTACCTCCCGTCGTCGTCCTCCTCGCAAAACACCCCGTCGTTGACAAGTACAACCTCTCCTCCCTGAGACTTTTGAACTGCGGTGCGGCGCCGCTCAGTCGTGAGCTCGTCGAAGCCATGTCCACCCGCATCAAGACGGGTGTCAAGCAGGGCTACGGTCTCAGCGAGACGAGCCCCACAACCCATACGCAAACATGGGCGGATTGGGACAAATACATCGGCTCAGTTGGCCGCTTGCTACCGAACCAGGAAATCAAGTATATGACTTCGCCTGACGATGGCTGCGAGCCTGTCGAGCTGCCCATTGGACAGACAGGAGAGATCTATATCCGTGGCCCCAACGTCTTTCTTGGATACTTGAACAACCCAGAGGCGACGGCGCAGTGTCTTTCCGCCGACGGCTGGTTCCGCACCGGTGATGTCGGGCATCAGGACGAGCATGGCAATCTATACATAACCGATCGCGTCAAGGAGCTCATCAAATACAAGGGGTTCCAGGTTGCCCCGGCGGAGCTTGAGGGTATTCTTATGGAGAACGAGGCGATTGATGACGCTGCGGTCATTGGCGTTGAGAGCGAAGAGCATGGCTCTGAGGTACCCCGCGCCTACGTTGTGTTGAAAGACAAAGCTGCGGGGCCCACGGCAGAGAAGGCGGAAGCGGAGAAGATCATGAAATGGCTTGCGGGTAAAGTGGCTCCTCATAAACGGCTGCGCGGAGGGGTGAGGTTCATCGACGAGATTCCTAAAAGCCCCAGTGGGAAGATCTTGAGACGTACACTGAAGGAACGGGCGGAAAAGGAGAACGCTGATGGTCGGATGAAGGCCAAGCTGTAGCCCATCCTAATTTTCCTTTGGACATTTCATTCTTTCGTCTTCCTTTTTGCGCGAAGCTTTTAGTTTCCAGGCTAATAAATTTAGCCTGTGGCCTTTCGATTCGGTGATCCTGGTTAGTTTGCGTGCGATTTTTAGAGGTAAAGATTCTAGAGTAGAGTATATCTATATCTATATCTATCTATCTATCTATATATATATATCTATATATGGGTTTAAGTCTAACATCGCTTTTGTTTCCTTTGCTTCCCTTGAAATGGAAGAGTTTCAAAGGCGGTGAACCAATCTTTTCGAAAGATGTCCATACAACAATAGAGAAATAATTGCTTTATGTAAATTTTATAGCCCACAAGTGAACATCTTTAAGATTAAATAATAACTATTCAAGTAACCAAAAGGAGTCTAAGCAATGTATTAAAATAATTTTGCACACAACAAGATGTTTCCCTATGTCCGACTTCATCGGTATTTATTGCTATCAATAGGAAACACGAAAACCCCTATTTGGAGCACATAGATGAAGCTTTCCCCGACCCGCAAAAATTAGTTGTCTCTCTCTTCCCCCTGTCCCAACTAGCCCTCCATTACAAACGAACAAAGCAAGCAACGTGTTCAAAATACTTGGAAAAAACAAACCCGAATACCCCAAAACATGCGATCCCATTTCTCTAGTGAGTGAAGAACAAGAGAAACGCGGCTTATGCCTCGCATTGTTGATAAAGCGGAACCTCTTGGCAAAGCTCATTGGCCGGCTTCGTGTTATCGTCGCAAAGGATCTTGCACTCGGTAGACTCGGGAGTGAAGACGAGGTACTCGAAGTTCTTGAATGGCAGACGGAATTGCTTGTTGATGTTGTCGTTGTCCTTGCTGGCCTTGTAGCCAGCCCGGCAGGCACAGTGGAAGCGCTTGCCCGTGTTGATGCAGGAAGTGGTTATATCACAGTGGTTCTGGCCCGAGATAGGGTTGCAGGTGCCGCAGACGGGGGCGGGCTGTGGCTTGGGCTTCTTATGAGTAGGGTACTTATCAATAGGGTGCTTGTCCTCAACGGGGTACTTGTCAGTAGGGTATTTGTCGGTGGGATATTTGTCGGTGGGATATTTGTCGGTGGGATATTTATCGGTAGGGTATTTATCGGTAGGGTACTTGTCGGTAGGGTACTTGTCCGTGGGATACTCTCCCGGGCGGGCAGCGACGAGGAGGGAGGAGCTGGCAAGGAGGAGGAGGGTTGAGATCGATTTGATGTTCAGCATTTTTGCGGTTGATTATTTATTGAGCTGCGATTAAAATGGGTTTTGATATACTGCAAGTCGATTGGGAATGATGGAAGAGCTTTTCTACATTAAATATATGTATTGAAAAAAAGAAGTATTTGAATATCTTCAGCTCAGGGAACGAACGACTGGGTGCTTGTTAAAAAATTAAGGAAAAAGAAGAAGTAAAAAGAGAGCAAATTCGCACCTTTTTATATCTTTGAGCCTTCTCCGTGGCCTGCTTTCAACCCCTCTCCAGCATCATACCCGCCTGGTTCCTGATAGGCCATGTTCAAAAACCTGTCCATTCAACAGGCAGTGTCTCATCATGGGCAGGCTAACTGATGCCAGCAACAGAAACATGGACAAGAGTCAAATTCAAAATAGAACAATATATGACGTCTGTCCACACAACTAGCCAAATCAATGGGAAGTGTGGCAGTGTACCAGTGTTCAGAGTTGCCTTCGTTGCAAGAAGCTGGGGTAACACATTATTGCATCACTGCGCTGTGGTAAAGCTGCAACTTGGTGACTTATCGAACCATCTATGAATCACGCCTAGACCACTAGCTCCCCGTCACATACGAAGGGCTATGCATGGCTGTGGATTTTCAATGAGCTGAATGCACGATCAAGAGAGCACCGAAAATGTCGCAAAGCGAACGAATTAAATTTTCAGGGATGGAGAAAAGAGCTAAAGGAAAATTCGTTCGCAAAACCCCATCTGTCAGGGCCCAAAGGCTAAATAAACATGGGTTGCTTGAACAAGGTACAGGCGAAAGGAGAATCGACGAAGTGGATAATCCATGAAAACATAATTCTGTCATCCTGGATTCTCGTTTTGCCAGGGTTATCTGTTGTCTTGAATGAAATCAAGATACAACACTTCCAGATCTGCCGACATCGAGGAATGTACGACCTGTATGTATTCCATTGGAAGTAACCACCCGTTCTTGCGATCGTAGCCGAAGCGTAGAAAGATTTGAGTGAAAACCGGCACTAGCTCCGTACAACGCCGGCTTTGGAGAGACAAGATGCTTCAGCTTCAGCTTCAGCCTCGGGATCGCAGGGATCAGAGTCGATGGGACGAACCAGCAAAGAAATAGCCATGTACTGTCCTCCGTGCATTGTTATCAAGATTTCGCCATGCATCCCGGGCGATGGTGGTGATGTTGTTGAGTTGAGGCTGCAATCGGGCGATCCTTGCCGCGAGTGGAAGCAGCCAAAATCTGGGGTAGCTGGGGGGACGCTGTGATTGGTTCGACGATGAAGAAAGCGGAGCTCTCGCGGCTGAATAAAGCTTAGCGTTGTTTATATTTGGGATTTCTATTTCTGCCGCTAAACCGGAAACGGAAATCCAGATCGGCATCTGCAGAGCCTCCAGCCCTAAATTCGATCATGATCGAGTCATTTATTCTCAATTCATTTACTACTAACTAGTTAAGACTATTTGACCAAGGATTGCAACCATATTCCTCTTGTTTGGCAAATCTCCTGGATTGTCCTGGTTTTTGATCTTGTGTGGGTGCCATGTAAATATTCCTGAAGCCCGATTATCTTTTTATCACTCACAAATATCAAATATTGCACTTCCAGGCTGTTCCGCAGCAGAGGGCGAACATCACATTGTTTCTCCAAAAGAAGAGAAGAGAAGAAAATAGAAATATACAGCCGTCAGCTGCATCTGCTTTATGCCCTCGAGTCAAATATAGTTAATGATACAGATCGACTTTGGTTCAAAGCATCAGAAACCCAGCAAATTAGAATACAGGGTTCACCTGCAGGACCGGCCCAGGATGTAGTTTGTTCAACGATCTCTCCTGTAGAATACGAGGGAAAAGACAGGCACCCTTTCTCTGCTCAAAGTGCATAATGATATTCCTTTGCTTTCCTTCTTTTTTTCTTTTTCCTGCCCTTTTTGCTTTTTCATTTGCCTCCTGTTTTTGAGACAATGTTCGAATCGAGCCTTAGCAGGATCGAGTCGTGATCGCTCAACCATAACGCATTTCATGGTTGCAAGAACCAATCATCCATCATTTGCAGTTGCTCATGTGTGCGAAATTAAGTCTGGATTTTTGCTCTTCTTGCCACAGATCCCACCAAACTGCTGTCTGCATTCTTCGTTGGTCGGTTTTTCCCCGCTTCCCATGTAACTCTCACATTCATGCTAACCCCATGTCTCCATGTTGTTCCAAAACGATGCGCGGTCACACAGATGTCTCGGAGGTTTACGGCACTGCTCCCTCGTGTTTTGGGTCCAAAACCCAGCTTCTCGTTTGTGTTTCCTCACGAAGTAGGACAGAGTTTCTATCTATATAGCTTTTCAAGTGGTATTTTCATCTTGTCAATAGCTCGAGCTTTTCGATTGTGACAGGTGAAGATCGTTAGACATGCCACGTCTTCCTATCATTCTTCTATCACTTGTTGAAGGACATTTGTGACAAATTAAAATGCCGACCGAAAGGGAAAGCTCAAGATCTATATACCTTGCAGAATTGGTTGACCTGAGAGTTGTTGAACACTTTTGACTTTTATCCATCAAGAGAGAGATCAACTCAATGGGAAACTACGAAATTATTTCCGGCACAAACATATATCAACAATTTCTTCCGATATCTTGTCAAGTCTTTCCGGCTTCTGCTAACGTTGCCATTCATCAAAGACCAGTGATTATTATCACATGCCAATATTTTAGAGAAAGCACTTTGCTTGCTGAAATCCCTTTCATAATTTAGTGGATAAAGTTTTAAAGCGTCAAAACAAAAAGAGCTTTTTCTTGATATTCTAGAAAATCCTTCCTGCCCTATCAACGCCCTGCCAATATCCATGGACGAATAAAAACACGCATACATAACCTTGCATATGAAGCGAGACGCATTTCAAGCAAAAGGTGAACATAACCAGATACATTATTGGACGGGATATCCGTGATAAAGGAATATAATAGAGACATCCTGTACCTAGAAGGAGAAAACGTTCGGGAAAATTCCTGCATGGCAGGATCCCGGTTTCCCCACCATTACAAATCAGAGCTTTGATTGTCTCATATAATGTTCATAAGCTCGTCATCTTCGATCTCAACGAAAACAAGGCGAGTCCCATTGCCGATAACTTGCCAAACCTAGAAGAGAAGGGGGATAAGTATTTAACACGATGACAATGTTCAAGGGATATAGAGCGTAGGAAAACCTGTGAACAAGGGAAACAACAAAACTCACGTTTAGGCTCGCGTATTCGTCAATAGTCTGGCTGAGCTGATCATCCGTGAAGCCTTTCGCGAGGACACGTTCTCTCACTCTCCGCATGCTTAACTCCCCTTCGTTCCCATCTTCCACGGCCGCAGCACCGCTCTCTCGCATACCCCGGATGAGGTTGTATATCTTGCTCATAGGGCTCTGATCACCATCACCCTGCGAATCGTGGTATAAGCTCGCCTTGCTCACTGCGGTTAGTCGCAGGGCTTCATCCACGTCTTCGGTAATCACTTCCTCGCTGAAGCGAAGACGGGCGAGAGCTTGTGATAGACGGAGTATACCTAGGAGGGTACGTGGAGATGTGTGTGAGAATTGTTTCTTGGTGGCCTCGTTGCGCTTTTGTTCTTGGCGCAGCCGAACGTAGGAGCCAACCATATAATCGGATACTCGTTTGGGGACGTTGGGTCGGTAGGTACGAGCTTTAGCAATATATTGTCGGATTTCGTGGGGTGAGAAAACTACGTTATTTTCGTCCGTCTCAGGATGCTTGTTGTGCATATGGACGTATGCGACGTGATTAGCAAGCTCCTCATCAGCATCGCGAGAAGGCGTATCCAACATTAAGAAAAGGACATCAAATCGGGAGAGAAGGGCAGCCGGGAGGTTAATGTTCTCAACCGGTGATATGCGCGGGTTATATCGGCCGTAGAGGGGATTGGCTGCTGCTAGAATCGATGTGCGAGCATTGAGAGTGGTTGAAATGCCAGCTTTGGAAATGGATATTGTTTGCTGTTCCATGACCTCATGAATTGCAGTTCGGTCCCCATCGTCCATTTTATCGAATTCGTCAATACAGCATATTCCATTGTCCGCCAACACCAAAGCACCCCCCTCTAGCACCATCTCATCTGTAACGGGATCACGCATCACCGCTGCAGTAAGGCCCACACCGGTACTTCCGCGTCCAGTAGTATAAACACCACGGGGAGCAACCTTAGTGATGTACTTCAATAACTGAGATTTGGCAACGCCAGGATCACCCATAAGACAGATATTAATATCACCACGAATACGCATTCCATCTCCCATTTCTTTGGTGACTCCTCCAATCAAAAGTAGGAGCAACGCCTTTTTAACGTCAAGATGGCCGTAGATTTCAGGGGCAATGGAACGTGATAGGTATTCGTACATGTTTCCTGAGCTTTGATGTTGAGTTATCTTCTGGAGAGTTCGCGAGTCCATGACTAGATTCTCATAGGCCTTTTTATGTTGAGTTATGTGCTGTGCTTCTAGATACGTATCTGTAAGAAGGCCTGCTTTGATCGCTCTAAATCCAGTGTAAGGTATTGGGAGGAAGATCCCAGCAATATCAACTACATCACCAGGATTAACCTGTCGTACAAGGCTTCCATGGCAATGAACCGTTAGAGTGCGTGGAATGTGGCCAATGGGGACTTGATCTGCCATCTCCTGAATTTTAACCTCTTGGAATGGAATAAACTTTGACGCTCTGGTAGAAAGAAACAGCTGTCCCTTGGTGTTATTCTGCAGGCATTCGGCAGATGGACACTCGAAAAGTGGAGAGAATTGCTTTGAAACAACAGGTTGGAAGACTTCAGATCCGCAACGATCGCAAGAGTAGGCATTTATCTTAACAGCAGGCTTGACATCTGAAACCCTGGTGGTAATGCCCCGCACTGTAATAAGGTGGCCAAGGTGTTCGCCGCGAACATTTCGAACAGCTATTGCCTTGCTTCGATCGGTGCTAGAACCCGAGGTGGTCAATGGCTTGAAATTTAAAGTATAGCGGCGGGTCAGTTCTGGAGGAAAAATTGAGGGTGGCAGGCCTGTTTCAGATTCAGGATCTGCTTCAGCAGCCAGGGTCATTGTTTCGTTTCTTCGCTCGCGCTGAGACATGATTATATCAAGGACATCATCTTTAAATCTGAGGGTAGAATTGAAATCAGAAGGACGTTCCCTGTCATATTCGATGCAGGAACGGGGCCGGATGAAGAACTCACGAAACTTCCTTTGTCTCTTTGGGCATTACTTGGTCGACTGCATTGGAGAATACATCAATGTATCGTTTTGCATTATCTTCGATGTTTGCCAGAATGTTTGAATCAGGGCCATCCGGCAGGGATTTGATGTACTATAATTTATCACTTCATAGTTAGAAGAGCTGACGGAACGAACGTTGCCCAAAGTGCTTCCTACTGTCTCTAGATCATCTAATTCTATAAGAATATTGGATCTTGTTCGATCTGCAACCTCTTGCAACATCTGCATGTACTTCAATTTCGGCTTTTTTGATCGCGCGGTTCCCGTTTGTTGACCATCAACATCGTCCATGAAATCGTACTCGTCGCTTGTGTTGTCGCCATCAATATGAAGGCCTTCAATTGCCTCAGTAGCAGCATTCTCTGAGGCTGATTCGAAACTCTTAAAAGTCTGAAGGAAGTCCTTGAAAATCTCTTGTTGAACTGCATACTTGACGGGAGCGCGATACTGAAGTAGCGCCATAGCGAAGCATTCACCAGTGAGGACGACAAACCAGAACTGTATAAGAGGTGGTAGAGGGAAAAGCGCTTGGGATACAGTAATGTGAACGGAGAGGATGGTGGTGCAGTTGGAAGAGAGGTTGATATTGTCGTAGGGTGGTGTGGTTATTGTTGCTGGCAGTTGTTGCAAATTGAAGACGGAACTTGAGCTTTTGATGGTGTTCGTTCCTTCCCAAAGGGTGAAAGAGCTGCTTTGCGCGCGTCTACGCGACGTGAACGCGTTTCCGAACTGCAAATGCCCTTCTAACCTCTAGTTAGGACTAGCGTTCCTCGGAGCGGATTAAGATTCGGCCCGGATCCCGGCCAAGCACTCGTGCGGGCCGAAGAAACATCCCGGAAGCAGCGACTTATTTCTACAGCCAGAGCGCGGTGGTAGCTCATTTCGAAAGCATTTTATTCCCTTCACAGCATACCCTCTTTGCTGGGTAGATACATCTGCAAAGGGGGACCTCCTTTTTGATAATTGTCCTATCATGGCTCCCGGTAACAGGAAGACGTCCACTACGGCGGAGGTGGTCCTTGTTCCACTCAAGAATTGTCTTGCTAACTTGCCGCCGTCGCTGGTGACATTGTTGGTGAACGCGAATACGGTAAGGTTATTGAATATCAACTTCTGCATCTAGTGGCCTAAGGGTTCTTTGTTTCGCAGCCTGCCCAAAACGTCGTTGTCGAGCTTCAATACCGCCCCGCATCCAGCACATCGACTGCGAGCCAGCTGCAAAGATGCGCATACGTGGGTTGGACAGGTATGCCAAGTAAGCGAAGGTTTGCTCCCGTAGTCAGCAAAGATGGAATAAGTGGTGTTAGGGACTTCTCGAGGGAGCAGGAGATCCCGACTGTTGAAATCGATTCCACTTTCGGGAGAGTTTTGGGCTTGAGTGACGGTCAAAGGGTGAGTATCAAACAGGTCAAAAATCTAATTTCACTCTGCTAACTGTCAATTAGGTCGGCTTGCTGTTGCATCTTGACCCTTTAGTGGCGCATACTGTTAATATTGAACCTTTAACACCAGCTGATTGGGAGAGTAGGTGTTGGAACTCTCGTTATCTCTTACTTGACTATGCTAACTGGGCGTTGGTAGTTATTGAACTGCATGCTACATTCCTAGAGCTTAATCTCTTGTCTCAAATTCGGGCTCTTCCAAATCCGGCGTACAGTGGTACAACAGTTGGGCAGATATCGCATTCCCATCCCCTCACATTACACCTATCACCCACCTCCACGGCCAACATCACAATCACATCTCTGACACCTCCTGCACCTGCGAACTCTCCATTTGCAAAAATCGCACAAGATGCTGAAGTTGTAGTTGCTCCAAAAGTTCGCCCAAAGTCCAGCGGGCATTCACGCAGCGAGAATAGAAGCACCACTAGTACTGGTTGGAAAAGCGTAAGCGGTCGTAGTAGTGGGAGCACTGTCCGCCCGAAAAGCAACCATTCTGATTCAGCGTTGCACGGTGCAGTCTATCTTCGAAGCGTGGATCGGCGCCACACGCAGGATTGGTTCGACGAGGATTCGGATACCCAGAAAAACGAAGGGTTTAGGATATGGATTGATCGAGGGATCCTTGAGAAAAATGAGCTCCGGGGAACAGTATGGGCATGCGTTTCAATTGTTACCCCGGCCGGATTACTTCCACCTGTTGATCCACAACAGCAGCTGCAGAAAAAAGAGCAGGAGTCTTCCGATGCCGGAAAGCCTTCGAAGAAAATTGTTGCCAGAGTTCTAACTTGGGATGAGAGTCCTGATTGTCAACATGTCGCTCTTTCATCCCATCTCTGCTCCGCACTTGGATCCGATGGAATGGTTGGAGGAATTGTCCGTGTTGAGGCTGCTCCACCTCAAATTCCACACTCTTCGGTAAAATCCATTAAAATTTTTCCTTTCGCCTCCAGCTTTTCTAACAAGAAAGATGGGTTAAAATTCGGTGGTGATTCCTCTGCTTATCGGGATTCGTTGAGTGAACGTATCAAGCTCTTGTATGGCAGTCCGGGATCCGATTCAGGTATGTTATCGGGCGCTATAACTGATGGAATGATTTTACCCAAGCTTGAAAACCAAGCTGCCTCCTTAGAACTTGAAGGGGGGATTGTTCGCTTCGACCCGCCTTTAAATCCATCATCAGAGACCAATAAGGTAGCATTTGGCTGGCTTCTCGGCTCGGAATGCAAAATAGATCTTGATATCCAACCAGAGATAACAAAACCGCAGGACAGTGTCCCGTCCTTCGCTCCATCGACTGACCCGATCCCGGATGACGCACCTGATTTGGTGGGAATAGACACAGTTATCGAAAATTGCCTCTCAAATCTTACTCGATCGTCCTCGATCCTTCTCACCGGTGGATTAGGTGCTGGCAAAACATCCTTGTGTCAGTTGTTAGCCCACAATTTACGCGAGGATTACCTTTTTAACGTGTCTTTCTTCTCTTGCCGCAAGCTGGTGACGCACGAAACACGCATCTCTACAATTAAGGAAACGTTCCATCGGCTCTTCCTGTCAGCGTCTTGGTGTGCGCGACAGGGTGGCCAGTCTCTTGTGATTTTGGATGACCTGGACCGTCTCTGCCCGGTAGAAACAGAACTTCAGGTTGGCGGTGAGAATGGAAGGAGTCGCCAAATTAGCGAGATTGTCTGTTTAACTGTACGAGAATTTTGTTCAGCCAACTCCTCTGTCGTGTTACTTGCAACGGCACAGGCGAAGGAGTCACTCAACAATGTTATTGTTGGAGGTCATGTCGTTCGGGAAATCATTAGTTTGAAGGCGCCAAACAAGGATGGAAGAAGAATGGTTCTTGAAAAATTAACAGCAGCAGATGGACCAGTTACAAGATTCCAGAATGTGGTCAATGGCCATTTAAGAAACCAAAGTTCATCCACTCAAGACTCTTGGCTCGAACCATCAGATCCCGGCAGCCGACCTGGTTCATCGGGACAGTCTGATGGTTTTATCCTTAGCCGAGACCTGGATTTCCTTGACTTAGCTGGGAAGACAGACGGATACATGCCCGGTGACCTCGTTCTGCTAACCGCTCGCGCCAGAAATGAAGCCTTGATCCGTTCAGTTCAAGATACATCATCCACTTCCTGTGCAATCACACTAGGCACGCAAGATTTCTCCCACGCACTCAAGGGCTTCACACCTGCTTCTCTCCGTAACGTGACCCTGACATCCTCCTCAACCACTTTTGCGTCAATTGGTGGTCTTCATGAAACCAGAAAAACTCTCCTTGAAACCCTGCAATATCCCACCACATATGCCCCAATATTCGCTCAGTGTCCACTCCGTCTACGTTCCGGCCTTTTGCTATATGGGTTCCCAGGCTGCGGAAAAACCCTTCTTGCAAGTGCGGTGGCAGGGGAATGCGGGCTCAATTTCATCAGTGTAAAGGGTCCCGAGATCCTCAACAAATATATTGGTGCAAGTGAAAAGAGTGTCCGCGACTTGTTTGAGAGAGCAGAGGCTGCTAGGCCCTGTATCCTGTTCTTTGACGAATTTGATAGTATCGCGCCAAAACGGGGACATGACTCTACCGGAGTTACCGACAGAGTGGTCAATCAGCTTCTTACTCAGATGGACGGGGCGGAGGGTCTTTCAGGTGTATACGTCCTAGCGGCTACATCTCGACCGGACCTTATCGATCCAGCGTTGCTCCGCCCCGGACGCCTCGATAAGTCGCTTCTGTGTGACATGCCCTCGCACTCGGACCGAGCGGATATCATCCAGGCGTTGAGTAAGCAACTCAAGCTTAGCGAGGAAGTAATCGCGCGTGTCGACGAAATTGCAGATCGGACTAAAGGATACTCTGGCGCCGACCTGCAGGCGGTTGTTTACAACGCACACCTCGAAGCAATCCACGACGCGCTAGGTGACCGATCTTCTAACTCCAATAACCCCCAAAATAGGCCAAAACGACCAGCAATCACAAATGGAGTCATCCCAGTTGTCAATGGCAATATCAAGGCCAGCACAGAAAAGATCGCCAAGAAACCCTTCATACAATTTCTCTACTCATCAGATGAACATGCTACAGCTGTAGTTTCTCGAACACGTTTAATAGAAGGATCCGCATCATCTCTACCACCTCCCGCTGTCGTTGCTGCGAAACTCGACGCAATTAAACAAGCCCGTAAACGCCAGCGCCAATGTCAACAAGAACTAGAGGCATCAGATCAGTTAGTTAATGCTGCTTCTCTCGGTGCCAATGGCGCCACTGCTGCGGATAAAGATGCAAGTGACGACATCTATATCTGCTGGACCCACATGGAACGATCCCTCGCAACCACTCGTTGTTCCATTAGCGACGTAGAGCGCAACCGCCTCGAAGCTATTTACAAAGAATTTATTGTTGGGAGGAACGGGGAGATGCCTACCGGTGAGGGCGGGCGGGAGATTGGAGGAAGGACGAGTTTGATGTGACATATGTCTTTGTATATTGTATATATTATTACCATATATTCTCCTGCATTTTCCAGTATTTCTATTGTATATCCAGTTGCTCATATTGCTTGACATTGCCGGGAGGATACAGAGATTGCATTTGTTTGTACAGTACGGAGTGGGGCGCTGGGAATCGAACGTCTAATGAATGACTCGGCGCGGGAACCCCTTTTTCTTCCAAGGAACATGAAAGCAAGGACACTCCTCAGATATTATCAATGCTATTTTAAGCATTCATGAGTGGGAATATTCTTCTCTAGCCATTGATTGTGCTTTGAGACTACCCCATCCTCCATATCCGCCATTGTTTTCTGGGAGAGACGAAAAGATATGAGAAAATATTCTTTTAAAAAAGAGAGCGGACGGATCCTCAAAGCTTTCTCCTTGCAATAAATGTTATCTTATTCAGACAGTGAATAGCAATTCTTTTCTTCCTCTATCAGTCTTTCCTGCACTCTCAAAATATGAGAATCATCTTTCTGAAGATACAAACTAATTGGGTCACGGTACGCCTCCGCCCAAGGACGCACTGTAAGTATAGGTGCTGATCATGACTTACATTCAGTTTCACAGTGATTGAAGGTTGTCATCGAGACAACAGATGGTTCGGCTATATATTGAAGAGAATGAAGTGTGTACAGGTATTTTTCATTGCTCTAGCTATAGAATATATATGTTAATATTCATATTTAGGACCTTGTTGAGGCTTTATTGAATGGAGGGATGAGATGGCTGATAGTCGAGCACATCATTGAATAGAGATGAGCTTGTTGGATAACAAAGGCCTGTAACTGTTTTGCATATTTCTTTTGTTCTTACGACCTAGTTACCCTGGTTCTTTGCAGTAACATCTGCACGACAATTTCACACTTCAATTTCCTAATTAAATGATCCATAGATCGACATGAGCATCCCCAAACTTCGGCTAACAAAGTCAAAATGCACCACTCAGTCATGAGCAGAATCATGCTTCCTTACTCCAATTCCCTCGCCCCGTTCACCAATCTCAGCTCATTTCCAAACTTTTCGTTATTCTGAATACCTAGGCCTTTCATCCCACTAGCCAATACCTCACGAAGACGCATCGATAGAACAGTGTCATAATCCGGGTCCTTCGCTGGGCTCTCAGCTTTGGACATCAACCCCTCATACAAGGAAGCCGGAAGGTCAAATCCGGATATATTCCGCCCAATGGATTAGAGAGTGTACCTCTCCAGGTAACCCCCTGGTCCTGATTAGGGCCATAGGTCGTATGCAGTGCTCGTCTCAATCTTCTCAGCCCACTCTGCGTTCCCCTGAATCTTGGCTTGGAGATAGGTCGTGATGAACGGGAAGAAGAGGAAACGGCTTGCCGGCCGGTTTGAGCTAGTTGGGAAGGTCAGCGGTTTGCCATCTAGCTCTTGTCATTGTACGTTGGTCAGCGACAGAATGGACCGGTATGACCGATTGTACGAGGAGGCAAGCGCGAGAATGCACCTACATTCCATCGTGAAGCATGCCCTACCAAGTCGCGACTGAAAATGCGATCCCGGTATGACTCCTTTGTCAGGACGCATCTCCATTGTGTTGGAGTTTGTGCTTTTTCTACCGGTAGGCTCGGTATTATAGCAATTACTCGGGCATCCTTGGCATCTTCAATTTTTGCATGTAGCGTGATCCCTAGACAAAACAACATTTTTGTCAAACCAAGTTCTCTACGTACGGATAGTGTCCAGCTCACCGTTTTTCCGATCCTCCAAGGCTGCAACCTCCCCATCTCCAAAAAGGTACGCCAGTTCATTCCCTTTCACCCCCCTCGGGACAAGATGCGTTGTTTTGACGCTCCCTGCCCACCAGCCTGTGATATGGCAGTATAGCTGGAGCTTCCCTCCCTCCAGCCTCGTCGCAGTGTGGTACGCCAACACATCCCGACGGAACTTGGCTAGCCTGAGCCCAACATGCCATCCCATCATTTTGTCAGACATGCATTTGGATTACAGAGCGGCAGCATACGCTGTCTCTAGCAGCGACGCGGCTTGCAGTTGCCGGTCGTCACCCTTTTCTGTCATGCCTGTGTCTGTCTCAGGCGCGACAGCTCCATGACGCTTTGGAGCGAGCTCATCTTCTAAGTCTTGATTCATCATTTTTTTGTTCATGGGTAACTACGTGGTATTCCTTAAGCAGCGCGCGACATCTGCGATCTATATAGTAACCATTTCATCGGAATACTCCTTTCTGTTTGAGGACTTCTTCTCGGACAATGTTTAGCGCAGATTGTCCTGGTAACAATCGAAATAATCCAGCTCGGTTCGGCAATGTTGCGGTGTGAATTTGAGAATGTCGGGTACTGTCGAAGTCATACCGCAAAGTTGTATCATTGTTGACGGGAGCAGGATTTGACTGGCTCCTTTGTGCTCGGGTGCATTTGGGCTTGTAGGGGCGAGTAGTGATGCGTATCTTTCTGGCATTATCGGGGAGGAGACGGCAACTGAACGGGGGATATGTTTCGAGCGAGATGAAGACGCCTCCGGGGAGGGGATTGGAGCGGACATATTGATATGTGTTTTGGTAAATGTATATTACATGGACATGCATATCTGCGGAGGCGAAGGAAGAAATGAAATGGGACTGAAGAGGGAGTCTAATTCTGAAAAATTTGAAATGGTATTCATGACTGCAACTACGAAGGATAGCGTTTCAGGGGGCTGGAAATCAAAGCTGAGTAGCACAGGGTAAAGCGATAGACAAATGCCAATCACTTGAACTGGGGAAATGGGTCAGGTATCTTCAGATACTAGCAGCGGCAATGTTGCAAAGTACCGTATCAATAGTTGTGAAGGGGGCCGGTCTCTATCCGGTAGTTGTGGAATGTAGATCGTTAGCTGCTCTTCCACGGATTGTTCACAACTGGAAAGAGGACATGCTACAGATCAAAATGGAGCAAGACTTAAAAACAACACGATCTCGTTTTTTGATAGTAAATGGGAATACCGAGAGAAAACACCATCTTCTATTTTTTAAACCTTGACAGAGATACAGCAATGAAGATGGAAAAAGAGCTGTACATTATACCAAACAAAAAAATAGATGCGGTCTAGGAGAAACAACCCTAATAAAACAGCATTCAGAGAAATTCACCCAAAGGTCAAACAAAAAGAAATAATGTAATTATTGTAAAGGTATAAGATGCAAAATACATATCAAACCTTGAAATGAACCTGAGTCCGCTAGGTTGCATGATAGTCGAATGAATTTCAAATTAGTGGAGAGAAGCTCAGTTCGCAGCCGGCATAGGTATTGGCGGAGGCACTCTGACTCTTTTTCCCAACTTTTCTAGTTCACCGATGATCCCCATTCCAGAGAGTGTCCACTTCTCACTGACGAATTCCTCTGTTATTTTTTCTCTCAGGATGCCACTGTGTGCAAAATACTCAAGCAGGCCTTTAGAATCCTCCTTGTCCAAGCCAGTGAGCCTTTGCGTCGACAGATCTTTCGCTTCATTAAGGAGAGCAAGGACTCGTTGATCAGGGCGGCGGTATTGGCTAACAGCAGGGAATTCCGACGAGTCTGTGGGTATGCCAGCGGTACGGGCAGCAAGCTGTTCGAGCAAGACCTCAAACGTATATAAAGTTGGTGTATTTGAGGTAGATGTAGAGTAGAGGAGAAGCCCGCCGTTAGGGAGTGCTGGCGAAGAACGTTCCGACGACAGCAGAAAAAGGAAGTGGTTTACCAGTGCGAGATCGTGAGCATGGATAATCTCATATTCGGCAGTGCGGTATTGGGAATTCGTCATCCAGTGTGCAAGGCCATCGACTGTGACTAGGATTGGTGGACGAGAACTGAATGGCTTTTGACCGTCAACATTAGTAGTTGCTTCGGTCGCTGTTAGTTCTGACCAAAGAGCCTGAAATATTGGCCAGGCGTGTGCAGTGTCATCGATTCCAAGTTTAGCTAATTGCTCGAGAGTCATGTCGGGGCGAACGGGTGCCTTTAAATTTAGGTGGTTTTGTGAAATATGAAGCTTAGCTAGCAAAGGGGCATTGGCGGCAATCATACGTTGTAGCACTTTAGCCACGGCGTCCTGTTGCACGTACTTTCCTGGGTCTGAGGGAGATGGAGCGTAGGCGGTATGGCCGATCGTGAGGTCTTGAGCTGTTAAGGACGAAAACAGAACGCATTAATGTTAGCGAAATGGACATGTTAAGACACATGATAATTTTACCTTACCCTCAGGAATAGTGACAATAACCCAGCCTTTCAACAGAGCCAAGGTCATAGCCTGAGTCAAATGGACACTCTTCCCAGTCCCTTTATCACCAGTAATGATTCTCTTGATAGTTTTCCCTTTCATTTCGCTCTCGCCATCCCCAATACCAGTAATTAACCTCCCCAGTTCGAGCGTTTCCTCCCTAACCAGAGTGCCAGGTCTCCTAAACAAACTCCAGCCCTGAGTGGTTTTGAAGGCGCGGGCGCCTCTTAATCGGTCTATCAACGCCATAGGAAGTCCAACGGTATGACCGCGCAAGTCTGCGTTCGTCATATTCTCCACAGAGAGCTCTTGCATATCTGGAACCTCGAGGGCGTTGGTATTGCTGAGTACAATGCGTTCCTTCGCCGCCCTGCGTTCACCCGGGGCTGGGGGCCGAGGTTTCTCGCGCTTCACCTTTTTGTTAATTCGAGCGGATAGGGATTCGCGGAACTTAGGGGCTTCCGATTGACCTGAGCCTGGCTTTTTTTTTATGGGCAATGCAAAGGCGGGAGCTGTGGTGTGGAAGGGAGCGATTCGGAGAGCGGAGAGCGGCTGCAACAGACGTGGCCCCCGCTGAAGGTTCGAAAGGCAGCCCCAGCAAAAGGAAGTGGGGGCCATTGTGGCACGAAGTTGCCTTGCCGTGATCAATGGCCTGTAAATATAATTGTTGCATGTGTTGGCGCAATACGTGTACAGAGTGATAAAAAAAGAGGCATTTGGCGCGAAAGAACTAAAAGAACCTAAACGGGAAAGTCGTGTCACTTTTTTTGGCGGCCAAGGAGCGGCTCTGCTTAGTCATTGACCTTTTCTTTTTTCTTCTTTCTTTCTTTTTTCTTTTTTTTTTTTTTTTTTTGTGTTTTGGAGCTCGAAGTCCTTGAAGTAACGTAAAACACACTATCCACTCAACAATCATGGCAATTGCAGACATGGTTGGCTCTACTTCAACTTCCATCCCCGCCTCAACGTCAAAAGCGAAGCCAAAACCAGAAAGACTGTATGTTTGCACATCAACTTCAAGTTGCGCATCTCTTATCTTCACCTCCAATTGAAGCTCACCGATTCTCCTCCTCTACTATAAAAACACAAGCACAAGCCAAACCCTCCAAGCTAACAAATTACCAACACTTCCTCCAGCCCCATAACCGTCGAGAAACCTACACCCTACACCTTCGACCTGGGCCACCTTCTCGCCCTAGACCCAAACCCACTCATTCTCTCGAATGACACATCCCTTAACGCAGCCCTAACTGCCACAGCCCGCGATGGCGCCCAATCCCTCCTCAACCAGCTCTTAACAACCTGCACCATAACCTCCACGACGCGGGACGGCATCCTCCTCTCTCTTCCCCCTCGCACCACCCTCCTACCCCGCTTCAAACCGCTCCCGGCTCCCAAGCAGCCGACGAAATGGGAGCTCTTCGCTCGCAAGAAGGGGATTGGCAAATATAATAAGAAACTCGGTTCAGGCGGCGGTAGTGCGGAGGCGGAGCGGAGGAAGAAGCTAGTCTACGATGAAGCTAGCGGCGAGTGGGTACCGAGGTGGGGGTATAAGGGCAAGAACAAAGGCGGGGAGAATGACTGGCTTGTGGAGGTGGATGAGAAGGTGTGGAAGAAGGAGGAAGGGTTGAGGAGGGAGGGAAAGGGAATTAGAGGGGAGGGGAGGAGGGAGAGAGTGGAACGGATAAAGAGGAATGAGAGGCGGATGAGGGCTAATGAGCGGAGGGCTGGTCGAGCGAAAGAATGATTTTCTCATTGAGTGTATGTGCTGCGGAGGTCCTTGGTGTTGGGCCATTCCGTTTTGATTATGGGTGAATTAAATAAAAGAATCAATGAAATGGGATGGGATGGGATAGGCTTGGATGTGGACTCTACTGTCGCCTTTCAGTCATGTCTCCAAGGCAGCTTGGCGTTTCTGATGCTTTGTTGCGTCTATGTGAGGTGTGTTTCCTCTTTTTCCTCCAAGTTATCTGGCGTGTATAATGATTATTTGCTCCTCTAATAAATGCACACATGCAGATAGCTAATATTTTTGCTAATAGTTTCAACCACAGACTAGTCATCGCAAAACGGTAGGGAAATTCTAATCGATTTTTTTCTCCAGCAGGAAGCAAAAACCTAAACAGAAATGCATTTGAAAAACCGAGTAGCAGGATTTCTAGACTGGACGGTATCATGAACACAGAGCACAGCAACCAAAGAACTATATCGGCCTGTTGCTATCGAGCACGGTTATCACGCCACTTGGATTCGGCTCCAAAGTTCATCATGGGTGCAATCCTTGATACTTTTCTTGAATAAGAACAAAACAAATGTACCTGGAAGCTTGCTACATAGCTATTCGGCTTTCATGAATGCTCTTTTATGAGAAGAAAGCAAATTAATAAATGCATGCCTAACATATCTATACATATACCATTAAAACTCAAGTAAAGAATTCATAACCGAACTCAAAACGCCGTTCCAGCGTGGGGATGAAATCAAAGAAAAACAGAAAAAAAGAATGAATAGAAGAGCCATTAATTAACAAAATAAAAGATGGGATGGGATGGGGAGTGGGAATGGAAACGGAAAAGGCTGGGGAAATAATTGATAAATGTGAATGAAGAAAATGCCACCCGATGAAGTTGCAATGCCAAAGCTAACAGTGTAAAGGTACAAAGGATGGAAGAGGGTAAAAATAGCCGAAACAAGGACGGACAGGGAACAAATTAGACTGAAAGATAAACGTATACATAGGTTTGAAAAAAAAAAAAAAAACAATAACAAATAACAACGGGAAAGAAGAGAAAAAGTGTAGAGAAACCAGTTATATGAAACGCAGGATAAGGGAGAAAAGTGGTCAACAACAGTAGACTAAAAACTTAAGATATGTAAAGCTAGCAGCTGAGAATCACGGATAAAATGAAGTAAAGGCTTCCACTTAAGCGCCAGAGCATGCTTGATCAGAGATAGGGCCCAGAGAAGCAGAAGGACAATCAAATCTGCGAGGCAAGAAGTAAAACAAGAATACTAAATAAACGCAAACTGAAACTACAAAAACAAGATAGAGAAACTGAGGAAGAAAAACCACAATCAAAGAAGATTGCTCACAGAGTGCATGTGTAAATAACATAAAAATAAATAGAAAATCAGGAAGAAAACAACATCAGAACTGTGAAGTAGATGCATATGCATTACATGATAATTTTCTGCACAGCATTCACATGAAACCGCACATCAAGCCCCCTCAAAAAAAAAGGGTAAGGCATCTGTGCGGTTAAAGGCAGCAAAATGTGAGGCACCCATTTTGCAGCTCTAGAAATCGGAAAGTCCATGTGCTTGTTTTGTTTTGTTTTGTTTTGGATTCGGTGGGTAGTAAATATTAAACAAGTCGTTCTAAAATATCCGTCCATTTTCTGGATGCAGTTTGGAGATGGCGGAGATGGAGGCACCGATCGACATTTTCCATTTCGAATGTCATGTTTAGCTTTTTTCATCACTAGTCACTTATTGTATTTCCAATACTAGGAAGATCCTAAATCCTAATGGGTGAAAGCGGCGGGCCAAGCTCCGGTAATTGTGATTGAGAACGTGAATGCGAGCTGTTAATGCTCTGTGGTGCTGGTTTTCGTCCGCGTTTTGGGCTCGCCGGGCGACCGGACGTCTGTGTTCCGCTATTTGAGGCTGCGTTGGCATTGATGTTGTTGTTTGTTTTATTATGATTATGATTATCATTATGATTACTGTTGGTGGTATTAGGAGCTTGACTGCTGCCCGATGACGAGACAGCTCTTTCCTCAACGGCAGTCTCCCTTTCATTCGAAGCCATCTGATCTTTATTCATACCCTTCTTTTCCGCTTCAAGTTCGATTGCCAGATACTCCTTCTCAGTCCAGCAACCCTGCCAACAATTCTTCCAGTCGCAGACTAGAAACTGGAAACAGAAGCCGTCGATTTTCATGCACGGTTGAAAGCAGATGCAGAGGTTGCGATAATCCATTTTATTCTTGTCGACGTAGGAGTGTAGGAGGCTTAGGTGGCAGGTTATGGCGAAGAGGAGGTAGTAGTTGAAGGGGGGTAGTTTGGATAATTCGTCCTTCAACATTTGCGGGGCAGTTGTGGCGCCCATACACTTTTCTGCGATCATAGCCTGTGTGGCCTTAGGAAATATTTCATCAGGTAACTCGCGGAGCCATGCTTTGAACATCGATCCGATAGTGTTGATATCATATAGGTCGGGTTCGTCGAACAAATTAATATCGTACTCTTTACGGTCAACACTGTTAGCATTACGTGACCAGAAGAGGGAGCCCCGGAGAATAAAAAGTAAAATATACCTGTGTCAAACCGCTTCTGCCAATGTTTAACATCCTTTCCACTTCCTGGAACGCGATAAAGGCCTTCCTCCTCGCAGCCTTTAAAATTTAGATAGCTACAGGTGGACAATGATTGTTAGAGAGAATTATTGACGAAAGGGATGGCTGAAGAAAAAGCGACATACTCAATACATCTCCATGGCAAAGCTGGCATCCAATACTCAGTTTTATCCTTCGACGCTTCCAACCGTTTCGAAATCCGCGTCCTGCGAGTTTGCTCCACAAGTGGAAGATTGATGACTCTGCATGTATATGTGTCATCTATAGGGTACTCGCGTTCATTGCTACTCCCGCTCCGGGTGATTTTACCGAAAAAGCCCTTCCCAGCTTTGCCTAGACGATCAGCCGCACCGCTGGACGTTTGCTTTAAGTTGTCAAACAACGACGCCCCCGAGACTTGGCTCAGCGACGAGGAGGATGTCAGTGACCCTCCATGTCCTAGGTGACGCTGGGATTTGACATGATAATCATCAGCTGCTGGGCGATCGGCTGATCGGTTTCTGACGGACGAACCCATCACGTCTCTGAACATTTTGTCCGGTTGTAATGGTGCGGTTTTCAATGGCGGTTGGGTATTATCGTTGCTTCTGCTAATTTCCTCTAGTCGTAGTAAACCATTCGATGGTCGTCTTGAAGGTGGATGGCTTTTACCAGTGGCATACGAATCGTCCAGCCGGATGGATCGTGTTCGAGTAAGGATGTTGGCGAAACGGGGCTTGATTTTTTTCGACGTTAAATTGTGAGGATCAGTTATGCTTTCCTTGCGCAGATATTGATCGTCATTCCGGTTGCCTATATATGTTTCGTTGTCAGTTTCTCTGTAATTTTTCACATCTCACTTTTGTCCTTTGACATGAAGAAAAGAAAGAGATGCGGGAAAACATATCCTCACCATTTGTTCTTTCAGCACGACCAGACGAAGTTGGGAAATCTGTGGAGGAACCGTTCCGTCCCCGACTAGACATATTTGCTGCCCTATCATTCGAGCTGCCTCGACTTGGCGGGGGGTTGCTATCGGCCGTCTGTTTTTCCGGACCATCTGACGACTGAAGCCGGTGACTTGACTTGGACGCTTTGAGGTTGGAAAAGAACGACCTCGACGGATCTCGCCCATGTTTAGTGGCTTCCTTGGGAGAAGGTGGATATTGTGGGATTGCCGTTATGCCTGGTGTTTGCGGCATTTCATTGTTCTCTTCAGTGGCAGAAGCTTTCATTGGTGGAGGAATAGGGGGATTTTTCCCCGTCACTGGCCGGAGAGTAGATGCTTGAAGATATGGTGAAGTAGGGGACCTGGGTGATATGGGGCTTTGGGGGCTCAGTGGCGAGCGGACATTCTGAGAGAGTTCATCGAAGCTGGGCGATCCCAGGTGCAAAGGGGGAGCCTGAGATCCTTTTTTATTAGGCATTGTTGTCAATGGAATATCGCTGTTTCCGGTAGGCTTGGTGTGGATGGTGGAGAAGCGAGAGTCGGAGAAGAAGAATCTTTCAGCTTTCCCTTGAGGGAACCCGTAGGACGGTGGGCAGCAAGAGAAGGGGAGGCGGGAGTAAATCAGCACGGCCGGTAGGGTGGATGATGAAGACGTGCCGTCCTGTTGTAAACCTTGTGAGTTAGCCATGATGGTAGGGTAGGTTGCGAGTGGCACTCCATAGCATGCAAGAAAGAGTCCAAATGGCAAGAGGACCATAGAAATGTAGATATATGCAAATATATATAGATATATAGACTTTGTAAATAAAAAAAAGGGAAATATTAATGGGATATTACTCACGTTTAGGGCTCCTTTTAGGACGTCACAAGCTGGGTCCCCTATTATATTCCCCTCACCAATGTCCTTAGACGGAGGGCACTGCAACGTGGACTACCCAGGATGATGAACCCGTGAGCGATTTCCTTCCTCCCAACCGTGCTGCACGTCAAATGCCGGTTGCGGAGTGAAACGGTTGATTTGATCCAAGCCACACTGCACAACCCTGGCAGAGGACGTAGGGAATTCGTCTTTTTGATAAGGTTAATTGCAGGTAAGTAAACGCATTCGGGGCATTCGATAAGGAGTCGGAAATGAGAGATCAGAGGAAAAGGAGAGAAGGTTATGTTGCACGAAGCTGCTGGTTGTGCGACGAGTAATTAGTTGCAATACCAGGCGAATTGGAAGCACAAACGTCAACGATGCCAGAATAGGGGATGCAATAATAATTAAATAAGACAAGGCTAGCCTAGGACGAGGTCACACCTTGCAGATGACGGAACGGCAATATTTATTATTGGGGCAAGCACATGCAGGAAGAACCAAGTGAGAGGAGCTGAGAGGGAGGCAATGTAGTTGGACAGAGGACAACAGGGCCAATCAATCACAGGCACAAACAGAGGGATGCTTGGATGCTTCACTCCATACAAGCAGTCTGCTGCTTGTAGCCGTAAATATGATGTGCGACAACAATGAAAGAAGCGCGGACACGGGCGTCGAAGGGAATGGAAACCGAGGCGAGCGACATACAATAAACCGACCCTAGGCCGCTATAGTACAGAATAAGAAAACAGAAGGGAGTATTTCCCCTTGTTGACTGTCTCCCTAAGTCTGTCTGTGAACACAGGGCAGGAGAGCAGGAGAGCTAGAGCGCGTGAGAGAGAGAGAGATTGTGTGAGGGAGTGGGACAGAAAGGTCGATATTGGGAGGTCGAAGAGGGGGGACTGTCGCGGGTTGGGTTGCAGGACTGCAGAAGAGGACAAAGGGCGAGGGGGAGTGGAGTTATTCGGATGTTGGGTTACAACAAACGAGGCAGTCCAACAGGGTCAGTTCGTTCGTCCGCCGGCCAGTCCGTCAGGGAGTCAAAAGTCCAGTCAATAAGCGAGACAGACGGGATGAGGAAGTGGCAATACAGCAGAGTGGATGGAAGAACAAAAAAATTACTAGATAAAGAAAGACAAGAAAAACAAAAGAAGGGTGGTATTCTAAGAAGACGGGCGGCTAAAAAGATAGCGGAGGTAGAGAGGAGAGAGAGAGTGTGGAGAGTGGAGAGAGGAGAGAAGTGGTTGAGGTCGCGGGCGGTGGATGAGGCTGTGGGGAGCGTGCGGTTAGGCGGGTGGTTCATCGAGAAGCAGATTTGCACCACAGTCGGGGGGAGCCAGCGACCAGATGACTGGTACAGTACATATATCCACCAACCCAGGGTTCCCAGGTAGGTGCCTGAACATCTACGCAGCAGAGGTTTAGTTGCATACCTAGCCATATGAACTGCTTGTTTGATGGCTACCTCATACGCACTATTCATGATACAGGCGCCAATTCCTGGCAGAATCTCTCCCCTTATCCTTCCCCTGCTCAGAATTGTATGTGGCCAGCGGCTAGACATAAAAACAATAAGCAGAATGGCAGAATACATGTAACTAACTATGTAATGAGAAAAGTTACGGGATGTTGACCCTCTGCGCAAACACCACGCACCTGGCCACACAACCTCAGATGTGCAAACTACCATTACCTAGTTCTTGTCTATCTCGAACTATACCCATCCAAGGCCATCTTGAAGCGAGAAGCTAAAGCAGCAGCCCAACCGAGTGCGAGACTGGAATATCTTGCGTAGTCGGCAGATGCCGTAGTAATTATTATTTTGACTTTTGAGGAGACTAGAGACAATCAGCCGACCAGTTTTGCTGTTTGTTGTTTCTGATATCATTCCGCGGCTGTTCTCTTATGCAGGAACGGACAGTAAAATCGCATGGATATAGCCAAACTGAAGTAACTATACTCTGAACTCATTAAGCGCTTCGCAGCTCAAATATCATCAGACCATTTTCTTTTACTTTTTTACTTTTTATCTTTTTTATTTGACTTTCTGCATTCACTATTTGACATCTTTTTCTCTCAATATTAACTTCCTGAATTGAGTTGGCCCCCCCCTTTTTTTTTATTTTCAACGGAGCGGAGCATATTTACTAGAAAACCTCGCTGAGTAGTGCATAATAATGTCATATCTTATTCTTCACTCCCGAGACATGGATGCGACCCTTGGACATGGATCCATGAAAGTTGAGGAACCTTCTCATACAGGGGGCAGACTGCTGCCTCCCAAAATATTATTCAATTCTGGTATGGTAGTTAGTTATATATTTAACTATCTGCTTAAGGAGAAAAGACTGCATGCTTGTCTATCTCACGAGTTCGCTGCTCAGGAACCTTGGTACGCAGTGGACTAAGGTTTTAACTCTGAAACTCCCAATAGTTCAGTTAACTTTATCTGTCGAATGCACACCTGCCTCCTTTTAACTTCTTCAACTCGTCGTCAAAGATAATAGGGAATGAAAAACCTGTCAATAAGGAAGGGTTCCTAAGATGTTAGAAATTGACTTGCCTCCAGGAGTAGGTATAGCGCCGTTTTACGCGCGTGACAACATGAACGGTGCATACCACGTCGATTTCTCTCGCATGCAGCGAGTGTGATAGAGACATATTCATGTATCATTGTATCACTGGTAACTGCGCTGGCAGTGGCAACTCGATGGGAGAGACACTCGGGGGAATAATATTGTCACTGCCCCTGTGTAAACTCCGTACATTGTCTCTCTACATTGGTGAGTCTTATTTTAAGTTGACGTTTTACCCCTGAACCAGCCCTGCCCCTTTACCCCTTGCGAGCGGAATGCTGCGACACAGGGGCCTTGGCGGGGAGGAGCAAACTGGAAAAGAAAGTGGATCAAGACTCAAGAGTTTAACCGCGACAAATTGATATTTATATATGATGAGACCATTTATGCTATGAACGGTTAGTCAAAATAAAGAACAGAACACGTTACGAGTTAATCCCATGGAATCCTAGTATCGGTCGACAGGGTGAGTGAAAGAAGCCTTGCTGGTAAGCTATTTAACCCTTCTGTCCATTTGAAAAATACTCATTGCGGCATTTAATCGAACTCATCCCCTATTGAACTTCCGTACATGAGGCATGCCTCTGTTTCCTACGATTCCACAAAAGGGACTTGCGTATTCTGTCTACAGCTACCGTGCAATACGTTGAACCGAGCGGCGTCTTCAACCCCTACATATATGTGTAGCTCTGCTGCAAAGACGTCAACTGTTTCCACAACCCTTGCATTTAGCCACCACTCTCAAATCCACATGTTATATCTGATACTGGGCCGGAGTTCAAAGAGATTAAGACCAATGGGCATCTGTTGAACCTCTACGCGCAGTGGATGGGAAAACCCCTCTCTAGACAAGTAAACCATTCCAGGGCCCATTGCAGTGCTGGTGGCTGTCCATACGTAGGCAAATCGTTCCTGCAAACGGAGACGACAGACGTCATCGGCTAAGTACGGAGTAATTTAGTAATAATGCGGGCGCTACGTGTGCCACCATGCCCAGAAGTTCAACGACTTTCCATCAGCAACTGATATTTACCTCCACAAGTAACACTACTGCTGAAGGACGCAGCGCAGGGTGCTACCTGGTGTCTCGGGCGCATCTCGACGGAGGCAAGTAAGGTAAAGAAAGCTGGGGCATTCCTTCCGAAGATGATCAAAACTGCAGAATTTGCAGAATTTCATGCCGCGTCGCCCTGTTTCTGGCTTATCGCATCCCAGCGGATTATTTCCTGCGCAGATATCCCAAGAAAGTAATCTTGAGATTTTTTCTTTCTTTCTTGTTCTTTTTTTCTTTTTTTTTTTTCATTAACTATGATCATATCAAGGTGAAGAAAAGGTGAAAGGGGCCCGAAGTACGGAGTAGTCAGGACACGATTTCTAGCAAGCGTTGACCAGAATCTGCAAAAGAAGTGGCATGATACGAGTTGATCGTCACAATTTGAGTTGTGCCAAGCTTCCACCGGGGCCCGGAATTTTGTTCTTCCGAGACGTCAGTGCAAGATGGAACCCATTGTCCTCAGAAAGGTTCCAACTTACAACTCTGGCCCACCCCTTTATGATTATGACCGCTGTGCATTACGTATTATGATAGCCTAACGAGACACGAAGATAAAGGAAGCAAAAAAAAAGGGAACGTGGCCTGCTGAATGGTATGCTCCAGCAGCAGATCACGCCAACGTGCCTGGCTATCCGTGGACTCGAGCAAACAAAGAACAACTGGCTCGGTTTTTCATTCCAAGAAGGCATTGTGGAATTATTCTTATTTTTTTTAATCCTCCTACCTTAGACTAACTGTGATTCCCCTTGCTGTTCTGCTCTTACGTTATCGGCCGCGTGTCTATAACGATGTCTTTAGTTTCAGGCCCAGGCAAGGGTGGTGCTCCAAACTCCACAGGCGGGGAACTTGGTGTGCAGAAACATGTGGACTACATCAAACACCTTGACACAGTGCGTGTTGCCTTCCAAGATGTTATTCGCATGTTCCTGAGCTATTGACAATTGGCTTTTCACCAGCGCAAAGATGAGTTGGAGTACTGGCTCACAGAACATCTTCGCCTTAATGGAGTTTACTGGGGCTTGACCGCGCTCCACTTACTTGGCCATCCCGAGGCATTGCCCCGCGACGAGACCATCGCCTTCGTTCTCAGTTGCCAGCATGACAACGGCGGCTTTGGTGCTGCCCCAGGCCATGACGCTCACATGCTATACACTGTCAGTGCTGTCCAGATCCTCGTGACAATTGGTGCAGTCGACGAATTGGAGAAGCAAGGCCAGGGCGGGAAGGAAACAGTGGGGTCATGTATGTATGCCATATACATCTTGAATGATTTGTGGGATTCTGCATGGACTGTGACGGCTAAACTTTTCTTACCCTCGCCTTTCTGCTGTTAGTCATTGCGAATCTTCAGGATCGCGCTACGGGGACATTCAAAGGCGACGAATGGGGGGAGACCGACACTCGTTTCCTCTACGGAGCGCTTAATGCCTTGTCCTTATTGGGTCTCCTCCACCTCGTCGATGTTCCTAAAGCCGTAGCTTATGTGCAGTCGTGTGCAAATTTTGATGGCGGATTCGGGGTTCGTCCGGGGGCGGAGTCCCACGCGGGCCAGATATTTACTTGCGTCGGAGCATTGGCCATTGCTGGCCGCCTTGACTTGGTCGACGCGGACCGATTGGGTGGTTGGCTGAGCGAGCGGCAACTCGATAATGGCGGGCTCAATGGTCGTCCGGAGAAGCTAGAGGATGTCTGCTACAGCTGGTGGGTTGCAAGCAGTCTAGCTATGATTGGCAGACTCCATTGGATTGATGGGCCCAAGCTGGCTGCCTTTATTCTTCGTTGCCAGGTGGGCTCATATCTATACTTGTTGAAGGCTGTGAATTTTTGTTGACGGAAAGCTTTAGGATCCGGATGAAGGTGGCATAGCAGATCGACCGGGGGATATGGTTGATGTGTTCCATACTGTTTTTGGGATCGCTGGTTTGAGCTTATTGAAATATCCTGGCCTCAAGGAGGTCGACCCGATCTAGTAAGTTCTCTGCATCCCCTATCTTTATCTTCTTTCTTTCTTTCTTTCCTTTTTGGAACGCCATCTGATTGGTAGAAGCTGTATGCCCAAAGAAATCACCAGCAAAGTGTTAGGGAAATAGTATGTTCGTGGCATATGTAATGTATCTGGCAGCTTCGAGTAGGCAGTACTTTATCTAAACGTCTCGCTGAGAGAAGTGCTGTATTATTTTATTCCACGGACGACCTTTTCCCAAACAAATAAGAGCATGATGGTGGCCTCCCGCATTCTAATAACCCATTGCCTGATATGTGATAGGAATTGGGATACAAGGCGGGAGAAAAACAATTATCTGCGGGATCTTTGTCCGCTTCTAGTCATCTCGAATCACATAGTCACTTCGAGGTTATAGGAACCAGAGAACATGAAAAGAATCACGCTTACGTTAGCTCCATGACTGTTGCTTACATATTCATATAGAGAGAGTAAGGTCACTTCCCTTTTCAAATGTTTTTCATCCTCCGGGTGGACCTTGCTTTTTTCTTTGCTTGCTCCCTCGCCTTCAATTTTTCCGTTCTTGTAATACCGCGGTATTCCCACTCCTCTATCTCCCGTCGAACACCTGTATATCAAATACGATACTGTTTTCGTGTCCCGCTCCGTGGCCGTCCCTGCCTTCTCTGGATGTTGCTGTTCCTCAACGTATGTCAAAACATCTTGACTTTGCTATTTCTCGCCCTTTTTTCAACCTCGCCTCCTCAACCTCTCCTCAACGAGCCAAGAAGAGAGACCGGTTTGCTGTTCATTTCTATCAGCGAAGTGCATCTATATCTCCCAGTTGCTGCTTCCGTGTCACTTTTTCGTCTTTCCCTGTCTTTTGCTGTTTCTGCGGACTGTGTATCTGTGTTAAGCTGTTTGCTCTTTGTTGTCATTTCCTTTCCCCTTTACGGACGGCTCCAACTCCGTGGATGGGTTGGCTGTTTGCTCAAAATCATGCCTTCTTCTATTCTCAAATGCACTATCTGTCCTAAGAAGCCCAATTTCAGTGATGTTTCCCACCTCCTGACTCATGTTAGCTCCAAGGGCCATCTCTCCCACTACTTCAAGCTCCAAGTGAGAAGTCACCAAGAGCCTGAAGCCAGTGAATCACTGGCTGTCTATGACCAATGGTATAAAGAGCATAACCTTGCAGGACTGCTCTCTGAACGCATGCTCACTAAGGAAGCCAAAAAGAGCAATTCAGATTTTGCAGTTGTTGAAAGGGCTTCATCCTTCGGCAGATATTCTAGAGTTAAGGAGTCTCGTCCAGCTGCCAAACCTCCCAAACAGCCGGCTAGAACTAGCCATCTTCCCGACTATTTAGACCCCCGGATGTCTCTTCCATACATTGCCACTGACAACAGTCACACCCTCACCCAAGAGGCCCCAAGAATCAGCAGTGCTACAAATAACACCCCTAAACAATCTCCTGCCCCTCGTGCACCGCTGTGGCCCATATGCCAATCGAGAATGTTGCTATCCTCTGGGGTAGAAAATGCAATTGGCTGGAAGCCAGTATCTGACTCCTCTACATCCAAAGAGATGAGTCCTGCCAGTCAAGGGAAGAAGTCCTTAGTTGAACAAGTTGATAACCCTCATACTGCTTCACTGCATCGACCAAGACACCCAGTTACTCCTGACCCCTTTCTGGATAATGACTCACTGGAGTATGTTGCTGATGGTGATGATGGAGAATCTCCCACAGGACAGGAAGAGGCCACACGGCTGAAAGGTATTTTATGGCCTGGTATGGATATTTTTGATTCAGCTACGGAACAAATGAGGAAGAAAAGAAACCAGAAAAAAGATGTCAGCATTTTGAAACGGATGGAAAAGACATCTGAAAACATCGAAGCAACAGAATTGGTCTTCTCTCCAGGAGGAACACTGCGCCGGGAGCGTCCCATCTCAGGAGAGGTTGATGACACCAGCCCTCTCACTGGGGAATCTCCTATTCCCAAGCGAATACCACGACCCCGACGACGCCCACTTGCGTCGTCAAGTATGTTCAATCTGAGAGGCCAACGGAGAAAGCCCACTAAAGCAGATCATCGCCGCCACACCGATTCTCTGGCAGAGCTATCCCGACAAGCGTTGGATTGCTCTCCAACCAATTATCCCCTACAATATTTTGCTAACCAATACGTCGAGGGAGATGAGGCCTGCAAGTTGATGTTTACTGACTATGAGCGAAAGCCTCACCGTGGATTCACAATCTTTAATGATAGCAAAGAGGGGGTGCAAGCGGCCTTTAGGGAGGCTATGTCCTGTGGAGAAGACAGTCCAACAAATGCCAAGAAGATTGGTCGCAACACCAAGCCCCCCCTTGGTACTTTTGTAGGATCTCAATCACTATTTCGTCCATCTGGTGGTTACAAGTTTCACTCATCCAGATCCTACACCCAAACCCAGCCTAGAGATCTGCTGGAATACACTGTTGGAAAAGAGAACATTGAGCCTATCATGAATTCCGATGGACATGTTGATGCCCATGGCAGCCATGTCAACTGGCCTGAGCAGCAGACCACCGAAAAAGGCCAATACTTGACCCATTACTTTTACGGATCTGGCACTCAGCAGAGCTTTGGCGCATTTTCTGAGAATGCTGCATTCGGATATTCATGCAACCCTTTGTCATTCTCGTACTCACAGACCCAGCCTTGCGATGGGCTGAGTGTTGCTACCCTCAGATCTCATGATACAATTGCAGCCCATGAGAAAGCCAAAGAGAGCTGTGCAGCATCGCCGGACGGAACAGTTTCAGATGTTGATCGAGAAGAATACGGAAATATCTATCTTGATAACCCGTCACAGTGAGATCGAATATATTCAATCACCTGTTTGCTGTGGACATATATACGTCGACTGGTGACGTTATGGCTATCAGTTGGACTGGCTGGGCCGCTTTTCATACACTTCGAGGAAGCGATTTTATGGAAGCACTAAAGCAAAATTTATTTCCCTGAGCATTCAATATGGACATATCACTTAGTCTTCCCCAACCTTCCCTTGACTCTTGTTTTCTATCCGCTTGTCGAATTTTTAGAACACCATTATTTGCCTGCATGCTAGCATCGATCATGGCGTTCATTTCAGTTTTGTATTTTAACAAACCTGGACGAAAAAAGGAAATTGGAGGTTGCCAAAACATAGAGTGTGCATTAGAATTGTATTTTATAGCTATTGATACCATTGATGCAAACTAATATAAAATTTCCCCTGCTTTGTGTAGTTTCAGTAAAGTAATTTCCTTACTGAACTGGCCTTGTAGGGGATTTTCTAAACCCCTAGTACCCCTTGCTCCTGAAAGGTGAGGTTAGTTTAGATTGGCGTAATCCACCACAGCGCCCACTTTCCACGTTTTTCCATACAAAATCAAGAATGACCAGCTATTGATATCTCAATCACAATATATTATGATAAATTTACAAATGATAATAAAATTTTCTAAACGTTATAGTATATGAGATGTATTCAGATTACCAGTTGTCACCCCCAGTTTCTACGAGTAATGTTTGAATAACTTCTTTGATATCTATTATTTGTCACAGCAATATACAGATAAATTTAAATTTAAAATTTTTATTTGCAAATATATATATCTGTAGCTATCAATAAATTACAAATTATATAACATTTTAATATGATGGATGTTGAGATATCAATAGCTGGTCATTCTTGATTTTGTATGGAAAGGTGGACGTTGAGTGGATGACGTTATATAAGCCATTAAAGCCGGCGTCTTGGAACGTCGCGTCAAACGCGTGTCTTCTCAGATTTTATCCAAGGAAGAGACCCTTTCCTTTGGAGGCATGTACTTGTCGAGCCTCTCATTATCTATCATTTATTTTTATAGTATAAACTGTGTGATTCCCCTTTATCCCTTCCTCACTTCCTCGGGCTTTTATCCCTCCGTCTCCGTGCAAACGTGCTAATCATTGACCCGGATTTGTAGGAGCCTGCGTTGTAATTTTATCTTTTCACGCCTGCCCTCGCCTCTGAAATGTCCATGTACGCGTATCGTTAATATTGCGTAACAAAGCAATCCCTCCCCTTGAATAATCCCAATTCGCAAGCCTAGCACGATGTCCTCCTCACAATCCACCTCGCAACTAAAACGCAAGCAACAAACTATTTCTAGCTTCTTTTCCAAGAAGCCCGTCGCCCCGAATGGTTCTACGACTACCACTCCGAAAGGTGGTCATGTCAAGAGGACAATTGGACATGCTCGGGTTCACGAGGCGCCGAGCAGTGAGATGGATGGGGTGGATGGGGCCCATGATGCTGCAGTAAGACAGGAGGAGGAAGGTGATGATGATTATCAGATTATTCTTCCATCGAGGAAGCGTATCAGGAGTAACGGGGAGGTTTCGACTTTGCAAAGTGGAACACTCGCAGATATCGATAAGGGACATAGCACCAAGAAGGAAAACGAGCTGCAGATGGGGATAATGGGTAGTTCTGATTCTGACAGAGCTGAAAAGCCTGTGAAAATTAAACCTGGATCTTCGCGGACCGAAAAGTTTCGGTTCTTCAGCTCCTCTCTACCTTCATCTAGTGATCAGAAGGGGAATGGAGGCCGTGACGTTCCGTATACCATTTCTGCGGACGGTGATGCATCTGAAGACGGCGATGAGGAACAGAAAAGAAAACAAGCTTTGCACCAGAAGTTTGTGAAGAGGTTAGGCGGGCCAGATTGTCTTCCGTTTTCGGTGAGCCGAGTCGACGCGGGCGATGCTGAAGAGGTGGAGGGCGCTGAGAGTGATGCTGAGGCTGAGGCTGAGATTGCGCCGGTTCCTCAAAAGGGGAGGGGAGGAAAGAGGACCACGACGGGGAAGTTGACGCCGATGGAGAGACAGATTATCGACATTAAGAAAAAGCATATGGATACACTTCTAGTTGTGGAGGTTGGGTATAAGTTTCGTTTCTTTGGCGAGGATGCGCGTGTTGCGGCGAAAGAGTTGAGTATTGTGTGCATCCCTGGAAAGCTCAGATTTGATGAACGTAAGTTGAAGATCGTACCCTTCCTTGTTATCCTGATTTATTGCTTTGTTTATATGCTTCTGTTGTCGCGATATGTTTCTAAGTTCTGGAGTATTTGCTGGCTAATTTGGGCTTTTGTTTGTCTTGTTACCAGATCCATCGGAAGCTCATTTGACTCGCTTTGCCTCTGCTAGTATTCCGGTGCATAGATTACATGTTCATGTCAAGCGCTTGGTTGCAGCGGGCTACAAAGTAGGCGTGGTTAGGCAACTTGAGACTGCCGCATTGAAGGCTGCCGGTGAAAATAGAAATGCACCTTTCGTTCGCAAGCTTACGAATCTCTATACGAAAGGGACTTATATTGATGATGTGGAAGGGCTCGAGGAATCTAGCGGCAACTCAGGCAGCGCGTCTACTTCCACGGGTTATTTGCTTTGCATGACCGAAAGTAACGCCAAAGGCTGGGGCAATGACGAAAAGGTCCATGTTGGAATTGTGGCTGTCCAGCCGGCGACTGGAGATGTTATTTACGACGACTTCGAGGATGGGTTTTTGAGGAGCGAAATTGAAATGCGCTTGCTCCACATTGCCCCATGTGAATTTTTGATAGTGGGCGAAATGTCTAAAGCTACAAAGAAACTTGTGCAGCATCTATCTGGAAGTAAAACAAATGTATTTGGGGATAAGGTACGCGTTGAAAGAGTTTCGAAATCGAAAACAGCCGCGGCAGAATCCCACAGCCACGTATCTAGTTTTTATGCAGGTCGGATGAACGCCAAGGGGACAACTGGAGATGTTGCGGCAAGCAATCTACTAGAAAAGGTTCTGAAACTGCCGGAGGATGTCACTATATGCCTTTCCTCAATGATCAAGCACATGTCTGAATTCGGGCTGGAGTATGTATTTGACTTGACGAAGTACTTCCAACCGTTCTCGGCGAGATCACACATGCTGCTGAACGGAAACACGTTGACCAACTTGGAGATATATCAGAATCAAACAGACCATACGTCGAAGGGAAGTTTGTTTTGGACTCTCGATCGCACAAAAACCCGATTTGGACAGCGTTTATTGCGTAAGTGGGTTGGAAGGCCTTTGCTCGATAAAACGGAATTGGAGGAGCGTGTTTCTGCGGTTGAGGAATTACAAGACCCCAGCAAGACAGTGCAAATTGAGCGGTTGAAAGGCCTTTTGTCAAAAATAAGGGCGGATCTAGAAAAGAGCTTGATACGTATATACTATGGAAGGGTGAGCTCTCGTTGCTGTCCAATTTTTTCTTCTTCTTTTACACATTTCAAACTCTGACAGTCGCCTACAGTGCACACGACCCGAACTTCTCACAGTCCTACAAACGCTTCAGTTGATTGCAGACGAGTATGTGCATCTTAAATCACCGGCAGATTTAGGCTTCTCATCTCCAACAATCACCACAGCCATTGCAGCTCTGCCGGCGATACGCGATGATGTTGTTACATACCTCAACAAGATAAACGCAGAGGCCGCGAAAAAGGATGACAAATACTGTTTCTTCCGGGAAGTAGAAGAGACGGACGAAATTACTGAATCTAACCTTGGAATCGCTGATGTACAGCACAGACTGCAGGAGCACTGTACCGTTGCAGCGGAGATTCTGGGCAAGAAAAAAGTGCAATACACGACGGTGGCAGGGATCGAATACTTAATCGAGGTAGAGAATAGCCCCTATAACCTTAAAAAGGTACCAGCCTCATGGCGGAAGATTAGTGGCACAAAGAAAGTCTCCCGATTCCACACACCTGAAGTGGTCCAGTACATGCGAGAACGCGATCAGTACAAGGAGGCCCTGGCTGCCGCTTGTGACAAAGCATTCCACGCTCTCCTGGCCGACATATCAACGAAATATCAATCATTCCGTGATTGCATCCTCGCTCTAGCAACGCTGGATTGTCTCCTATCGTTAGCCAACATAGCAAGCCAGCCAGGTTACATCAAGCCTGCATACACGGACAAAACCCGCGTCAGCGTCCAGCGCGGCCGTCACCCCATGGTTGAGCAGCTTCTGTTGGACACCTACGTACCAAACGACATAGAGTTGCATACCGACGAGACGCGTGCCCTTCTGGTAACGGGTCCCAACATGGGCGGAAAGTCCAGCTATGTGCGTCAGGTAGCTCTAATCTCCATCATGGGCCAGATCGGCTCGTACGTCCCCGCCGACTCTGCAACTCTAGGCATGCTTGACGCCGTCTACACGCGTATGGGGGCCTTTGACAACATGTTGGCGGGTGAGTCAACATTTATGGTCGAGCTATCTGAAACGGCCGACATTCTCAAGCAAGCCACGCCGCGTTCACTCGTTATTCTCGACGAGCTGGGCCGTGGCACCTCGACGCACGACGGTGTAGCCATCGCGCAGGCCGTGCTGGACTATATGGTGCGAAACCTTCGAAGCCTCACGTTGTTTATCACGCATTATCAGAACTTGAGTAGTATGGCGCGTGAATTTCCCGGGGGTGAGTTGCGGAATGTGCATATGAAGTTCACTGAGTCGGGGATGGATGGGCAGGATATTACTTTCCTTTACGAGGTTGGGGAGGGCGTGGCACACCGTTCTTACGGCTTGAATGTAGCTAGGTTAGCTAATGTGCCAGATTCGGTGCTAGAGGTTGCAAGGGCAAAATCTGCCGAGTTAGAGGAGAAGATTAGGAAGAAGAAGATGCTAGCGTTAGCTAAAGTGGCTAAGGGGTTTATCAATACTGATGGTAGCGCTGGAGGGCCTGCGCCTGCACTTTTAGAAAGGGTGATGGTAGGGCTGGAGCAGCTATGAGTGGGAAAGTTTTGGATCTGATAATATTTGATCGGTAGTAGCATTTGGTTTCGCTCGTTCATTTTCATTGGCTGCTGTCTATAAATTTGCCTGATGCTGCGTTTAAAAATCGAGAGAAATACACGCCCTCTTCTTTCACAATTCGACCCTGAATGATCGATTCTACGAAGCCCAATAGGGGTGTGACAACGGAACAATAAAAATGAAACTTAGGACATATCAGAGTCAATCGTCAATTCACATTATCTATTTTGTAGGCACATGACTCGCCCCAAACCGACATGCCATAGGCAAAAAGGTAGAGCATAAGATGTCGATTTGATGCTGGCTGCTTCTTATCCATTTTCTCGAAAAAGCCCCGTCTCCTTTTATCTCTTCCCAGCAAATCCATTCAGTCATTCCGGATTCACTTTCGAAATCGCTGCATCGTTTAAAAAAGGGAGAACTTCGAGACAGTATATAATTACGCCCGCTATCATCCCCGCAGAACGCCAAGTTACCACTCTCTTCCTCTCGTCAGATTCCTTTTTGTAATACATTGCCAAGCTCTCCCGTCACAGTTCGTCGATCGTCAAGTGTGAAAAATAAGTTTCAAGGAAAACATTGACTCGGGATAAGAGGTTTAAGAAGGACAATGGGCGAACAAAAGGAACAAACAACGAATCGATCGAACCACTATCTTCGACATATTACAGCAACAACTTCTTTTCTTTTTTTCTTTTTCTGCTATATATTCATTTTATTGAAAGCCTTTTATCTCAGTCTGCGGGCTTCTCTCTCGGACTCGAGTAGGCACAGAATATCATCGACCTTGACTATTGTTTTGAAAGAGTGTATGTTAGTCTCCCGATGCATTGTTTTCATTGTCATTTTCTGGGGCGCTGGGTAGCTGTCTCGTACCTGGGCCCTTGACGTTTCGGATGATGGATCGAGATGTGTCGTCCATGAACTCAACGCGGACCTGAGTGACACCACCTCGCGAACCTAGAAATCGAGAAAACCACGTTAGATATATATGTCTATGTCTTTTGCGCTAGTCAAGTTAGGTTTCCCGTTTTAATCTATCCTTTCTGCGTACTTCCTCCCAGCTTTCAACTTCGGGAATCCTTTGGCTCCACTGCTTGTTTGTAGTCACAAGTGTCCCAGAAAGACCTAAGCCTTCTGCCATGTATATATTATCTCCCAGGCGCACAGAGACAGTAATTAATCCAAAAGAAAACAAAGCCACTACATACCGGTGCGGCCGAGAACGCGGGTCACTTTGGCGAACTTGATGGGGACTTTTCCGGAGGCATCCATGATGGGCGGTGGGATATGCGTATGAGTAGCTGCTGCTGCCGTTCGGGGGTAGACGGAGACGCAAAATAGCGGCAGGCAGAGGAGGGAAGATGCGAAAAGGTCGATGGAGGCTGAAACTTGTCGCGGAGGTCTGAATCGATTTTGGTTGTGTGGGAAGCATTTTTTGCCGAGGCGAAAGGGATCCATAACAGACAGAAGGTTTACGCGGGAATTTGGAGACTAGCACTAATATGGAATAGCGGACTCAAAGCCCTAATTTTCCGTTTTGGGAAGCGCAGCCAGAACGCCGTAGAATACAGACATATTCATGTGTGTATATATACATGCTAGTATGTTAAGTTCCTAGTAGATGCTGGTATAGCGAAGTGTTTGCTGCGAGCACAGGCGCACGTGGTTCTAGCGGTAGCATTTACTTCGTCTGAAGACTGCGATGACTCGATAAATAATATTTTCTGGAACAGCAAGAGAACTTCTCCAAACCAGCTATTTATTATCATGCGGACGGCCGCCTTACATTATTCGCCTAAAAATCTGTCGTTGTTCCCAATTAGCCGTCTCTCTTATTCCTCTTCCATCATCTGATATATTTTCGGTCCCTGCACTAGAATAAAATATCCCCCGGCTCTTCCCCTCGTCGGGGAAACACCCCTCTTCTCAGCTTAAGCCCTGCGCTTTCTCCGCATATCCCACCCACCTCAAGCAACATGGATCTTGTCAATCAGTAAGTGCATTGCCTCATGTCTACTTCTGTTCTGGAGATTTGCTAATTAATTGCAAGCCTAGAAGGACGGTTACTATTCGCGATTCCCAAAAGCAAGTCAACCCTCGATAATATAATATCCCCCCTCCTCCATCTGCACCGATTTGGCTACTTCAAAAGTTAGGCTGGAACCGGGGAGTTAGAGCTGACAATTCGCAACAGAGGGGCGCCTCCAACAAGCTGCCATTGACCTTTTGGCGGGCTCTGATATCCAATTCCGCCGCGAAACCCGCCTCGACATCGCCCTAGTAAAAAACCTCCCAATCGCCCTGATTTTCCTCCCCGCAGCTGATATACCCACCTTTGTTGGCGAAGGTGGTGTCGATCTAGGAATCACTGGTCGCGACCAAGTGGCCGAACATGACTCCAATCTCCTGCCAGGTGAGGTATCAGGTTTGGAGGAGATCCTCGATCTGGGGTTTGGCGGGTGTAAATTACAAATCCAGGTCCCCGAGAAGGGATCAATTACGGACCCGAAGGAATTGATTGGGAAAAACATTGTCACGAGCTTTACCGGTCTGACACAATCATATTTTACGACTTTAGAGGGGAAGGAGAAGCCCTCCACGAAGATTAAGTACGTTGGTGGAAGTGTAGAAGCTGCATGCGCACTGGGGGTTGCAGATGGGATTGTGGATTTAGTGGGTGTGTTCCATTTTTTTTCTTTTTTTTAATCTATCCTTTCTGCTCTCGCACTCATGTTGCGCCTTTTTTTTTTTGTTCACTCCTTGAATATATCCTGTTAATTCCCCCACGTTAGAATCCGGCGAAACTATGAAAGCTGCAGGCCTGAAGCCCATCGGCACAGTCGTCGAAAGTACCGCCGTCCTAGTCAAATCCCGGAACACAAGGAATGAACTCGTAAACCTCATCGAATCCAGAATACGTGGTGTCATCAGTGAGTCTTACTCTTCCCTTAACTTTCCCATTTAAACTTGGCATACGTGATGAAATAAAGCCTGACCAAATATCTCTTTCTTTTAGCTGCCAAAAAATACGTCCTTTGCCAATATAACGTTCCGCGCTCCCTGTTACAAGCTGCATGCGAAATTACTCCTGGTAAGCGTGCACCAACAGTAACCCCCATCGATGATGCTGGCTGGGTTGCAGTGAGCTCTATGGTGGAGAAGAAATCCATCGCCACCGTCATGGATAGGCTGACCGCTGTTGGTGCGACGGATATATTGGTATTGAGTATTTCTAACTCGAGGACCAGATGAGAAATGGGATTTCTTTTTCTTTTTGATGTTCGTTTTCATTCTCGACAACCAAAAATACAAATTATAGACGGCTATTAACTTGGAATTTTCTATGATTCTATTTCTTGCTGGGAGGGGGCATTTTCTGCATTTCCTCGTCCTAGATATGGCTCGTGATCGTGTTTAAGTGTATGCCGTTCTCAGAATGTCGCTTATATCATTTCGGAAATCTGGAGAATATTTGAAACTGGGCTCAGATATCATGGTGAGGGCGTGAAGATAATCCATCCACCTGGCACAGGGACTAAAGCAAGGGGTGGTAAATCCATGGGATTCGCGTCATCTTGGAGTGAGCTTGGGGGTTGGTGGTGCTCTGGTTGGAATGTTTACTCATGCGGAGCGGAATGCTTTCTGACCAGGATTTTATCAAGCTTGTTTCCCCTCCAAGTATGTTCACTACTTTTACGATGAGAAGAGAGCAAACGGATCAGTATCATAAGCGGCAACTTGCTAAAAACACAACCTTGCGGGCATTGGAACACAATGTTGCCGGCATTTTTCAAAGTAGTGCCTCCAGAGTCGTACCAGAAGCAACGAGGTGCTTGGCAGACATCGGTCTCCTTTGGTCGAATCCGAATGGACACCACTTCTCATACATTACTATAGACCCGGGACGAAAACATATGTATCTCCTAGGTTTTCAGGTAGTGGATATATAGCTGAACGCTGGAGTTCCTCAGTGAGGTGCTGAATTTTCCTGGCCTCCGAAATACGTGGACCATCAACAGCATATCTTCTTGGTCGGAATATCCTTTTCTTTTAGCGACTCAATAGAGGGGAGTAGGCCAATGCAGTCGTAATCCTTACTGTAGGTCACGAAACATTATGTAAAAATCCTTCGTATGTACGGAGTAGTTTCTGTTGGACGTCCAGGTGGTTGTCTTGGCATGTAAGCAGCTGTGGTGCGCTAGTCCGTAATAGATAGCCCTAGGGCGAACACCTCCCCTCAGATTAGCTGCCAATAGATCCTATTATACGGAGCACATGAAATTGCAAAATCAATCAAATCAAATCAAATCAATCTATCCATCTATCCTTCACCCTCTCGGCATCTGTGAGGCTTCAGTTTGTTGTAGTAGTCTTGTTTTCTCAATATTCCATCATCATTTGTATCAAGGTATTATCAGTCGTAGTGCTCGGTGGCCCCAAGGTAGGTTTGTATTCAGTATTAGCATTGCTAGCTGAGGTATCCATCCCCATGGTAGCTTGAGTTCTAGGAGGCATTCTTCCGGCTATATCCTTTTTCAATTCTTTTTCCTGCAATCAAAGCTCTCTTGGCCTTCGTCAGGACCCTTCTGCTGATCAGCGTAGCAGCTCACGAGAGGTTAGATACCTCAGGCAAGCAGTGGAAGGTTTAAAAATAAAATAAAAAAACACGCAATCTGGGCCATAATCTGTTGGATGTCTAAATGGTTGTACCAGCATGTAGACAGCTAAGGCATATATATGCGGATTACTAGTCTGTAATAGGTAGCCTAGAGCCAACATTTTCTTGCTATGTTTGACGTAGCTAGGAGCATAATGAAGAGGGTGAAGGATTATATTTATGGACCGCGGCGCGTACCTGAGGAGTTGACAGTTTTAAGACCAGTGGAGATAGGAGGTGAGAAGAATAGTACGGAGTTAACAGATGGGGCGCCTGGTTTTCATGTCGTATCCACAGGTTACCATCGTCGTGACGTTTGCCTGCGGGCGGTGCCAACAAGGTTACCCTCAGGGATACTGGACCGTGAGCCGGATGCTGCACAGCTGGAGGGAGGCAAAGGTTTGAGAGTATTCGGATCACGCAACCGAAGATGCAGACAATCACCCACTGCATGCATTTTTCATTATTCTCCCAGGTCTCGAAGACTCCGAGAACAAATCCCTGATCTCCTCCAGTCAAGTATTGGAAAATATCCTATTTAAGTCAATGCATACACGATCCGATGGTAGCTGAACAGAACTGTCCGTAGGCCGCAGGCGGGAATCACGAGGGCTGAGAAAGACGGCGGGGTGGTCCATTGCGACGGGATATACATGGTCAAGCGAGGGTGGAGAACGGCTTCCCATTGACGGGGAATTACAGCCTGGGATGTGAGATTAGCTCATCTGCAAACAGCTCCACAGTTATGCCACTCGCGCCAATATTAAGGAACACAGGGGGAAGAGTGAAAAGTTCGCAAGCAGTAATGAATGTGCGCTTGGAATTACCGGACAACAAGCGATGGATGGACGTGTGTGCCTGTAGGAATACATTCAAAGAAAATCAAGCTCTAGCTATTGATGCGGAATACGGAATATGGGCAGCTCAAGTTTTGGTCATCACAGCGCCGCTAACTAACTTAAAAGCATCGAGTTTAGAGCCGTAATTGACTTCAACGAATTGCTTGTCTGCTCGCATGGTTGCCACTAGAAGCCTGGCTTGCTCGCGAGGTGTCGATATAATATCTCATGATATCTCTCGTATTCGGAAACTTTTTGTTATCAACTCTCGGTTTTTGCTACCTTTAGGCTATCACTGCCTCGTGTGTCGAATCGAGCGTTCCCTTCCTTCTAAATATTATCATGTAGTTCTTGGAGTTATCATAGTCAATTCAATACTCTCTTGATATTCGGTATTTCGGTCAATATTCAGACGTTCTACCTTTCCGACACAAGGCTTGTCGCAGCTGAAGCGAACAGCCCACTCCTAGTGCTAGTAAATAGTTACTATATTGCCTGCTACAATTCCGGTAAAGTTGTATATGAATCAATTGATTTCATTGACCCCAATCAGCTCTGCCTTGTCTCTCTCCCCCCCCTGCCGCGCCAGCCTGGGTTCGATTCCCAGCACCGTCATTCACCCTTCCACCATGAATGGCCATACGTCGGGCCAGAAGTGGATGCACAGCTCAATAAGCTGAGTCTTCTCAAGAGTTGCCATCTGGATCCTGTTTCTCTCCTTTTGTGTACTGTACATAGAAATCTCTCCAGCATAGCACGTCCCCATGCCCTCCGGGAGGCTTCTCTGGGACGATAAATCTACTATGTATACATAGATACATCCCCCCTCCCCCCACCCCCCCTGCCACTTCATCTCACTCACAGGTGGCAGCGAGATCTACCTATTCAATCAGTGAGCAATTGCAAGCTGACTGTTCTTTGTGATTTAATCTGAACATAACAGTGCGTACTGTTTTTGCCCGAGGAACCTGAGAATCACACAGATGAAAACTGAACTCTGCAGAGAGCTCTATAGAAGGGGAGGGTGAAAAATAATGAGATCTCTTGATGAGCGAGAGTGATCTGACAGATGGAAGAGAATAGAATTGAATAACTTTAACAACTAACCATCATCCCTCGCCGTGCAAAGGCTGTGGATACAATATTCTCATGTATTAATTAATTAGTTGAGAGTCAATTATATTTCCAACCTATTGAATACCTTATAACTCTATAGTTAGTTATATAAGGAATAGCTGGTGTGTGATTATCAAAAACTGGGGTCAGGGCTCTGCCCAGATCAGCACTAGCCCGACGCGGGTAACTGAGTCTGACCTCATCGAGCCTTCAATTTTGATCATGACATTTATTACCTAGCCCCGTTCCACATTATCTCAAGCGTTCAGATTTCGCTTCCCTGTTCACATAGTTACATCTCTCGACATGAAACGCAGGACTACATTTTTGACAAGAGCGGGAGAGAATAAGCAGAGAAGCGAGACGGAAGAACGGTCCGCTGCCGTGTTGGCCGTTGCGGGTCCGATGCACTGTGGTGGTAAACATTGAATTTACACGCCCAACTTGGAGGTCATTAATACGGAGTATTTTCAGCAAGGGTCTGAGGGTCCATCAAGGGTCCATGTACCATTGATAGGGCTTCGGGGCTTCGGTACGGAAAACGAGCCGACTTCGGGCCAAAGACCAAATTTTGCTACAGGACACATTCCTTCAGCATTGGCCATACACAGAATACTCCGTTAGATAACGGAGTACGGAGCACTTCGTGATAATGCACTGGAGACTTTCCCTATCTCAGTGTCATTGACAGTGGGAGTTATGAACCATCCGTGGATGTGTCAATTGCGGATCGGCGCCCGGCAAGGCCCTCTCCATTTCGTTAAATCTGATCTCGCCGAGATCAAAACTCGTCGCCGCATCCGACCGATCTTACCATTCATAATAATAACACTAGGTACGGACTCCCCGCAGGATCCATCATCAGAAAAGCTTCCAGATCCATGACTGACTCTCTTGATACCGACGCATAAAGCCCACCCAGAGAATCCTAAGGCCATGAAGTTGCAAGGCTAGTTCCTTCAAGGGCCCCTTCGTTTGTGAAGATGGTTCTGTCTACTATGTAGCCTACCACGGCTTGATGGTGTTGCAACTACATGGGATTACGCAACATATTTTTTTTCAGGCTATTAATTCGTTTTTCACTGGCGCCTGTCAGCAAGCGACAGTGAGAATGTGTATTTTATTGACCAAATCATTGACTCAATCCTTGAGGGATACCAAACCCCAAATAAGATATTCTGACAATGTCACACTGCTAAACTCTTAACTCCTCAAATTGGGAAGATCTGGCTTCACCCTCTTCCATCTCACCATGTTACCTGTTGGCGCCGGCTGTTGCGATCAAGCTGATATTCTAGGTTCACAGAGCAGCTAATAATGGACATATTGCGGGACATAATGACCGGCACCCCTTGCCTGCATACCGCCTTGCAATCTCTAGAAGGTACACAAAAGTGCTTTTATACCCAGCCGAGTCCGCTCTGCAAACAGTTTTCCTGCTATCCCTCGCACTCTGCTTCGGAGTCTTGACATCCACCAAAAGGCGAGTCACTTCTTGCCTCCTTTTGCCTCGCAGACCAAGATGGCCGTCCTCTCTTCACTGCTTCCATTGATGCTTCTTGGGCTTGCAAGTGCCCAGATGACCAAAGATCCACTTGTGAAAAATGTCCGCGATTTCGATTCGACCTTTGACTCTGTTCTACCCAAACCGCAGAAATATACTTATACAAAATGGACTGAAGATGAGAGTAAGCATCCCCACAACTTCTCCAAGAATTTTTGGGTAATGTAGCGTGGAGTAACTGGCTGATGTGCTATACGTTACCTCTCTTGCCTCTCTCAGTCAACGGAGGGATCCCGCCGCGTGATACGTGGGGCCAAAGTTACTATGATAGCACGAGCCGGTTCTACTGCAAAGACGACTTTTCTGTTTACAATGTTACTTACGCGGATGTAAGTCCCACTTTCCCTCACCCCACGCAGCATTTCCCACAGTGATGTCGTTTGTTTCTGCATATTTTGATGTCTAACGCACATTTATACCGTAGTGTCCTGAGCCATGGCTTATCGGTCACTGCGCCAAGGCAGAGATGAACAGGGAAGCAACCTTTGATTTGCTTGGCCGGCTCCCATCAAGCGCCCGCGGTGTGATCTCTGATCTTCTCAACGCAAATATTGAACGTGGTTTGAGCTTTCGTTGGAATGAAAATCATTCTGTGATGTTTGGTGGATATTTCCGACCAGCTGATGGCCTTAAATCAGTGCTGACAGCGCTTTGGGTCGGTTCGCCTGGGGTTCCTTATGACCCCTTTTTGAAAGCTGTCACTGCCGACACCTGTGTGGGTGATGAAGACGCTGCGGCATCTTTGAAGAGGGATGGGTCATTGGCAGGTGCAGTAGAAACAGCTTTCGCAATTGCAGCATATATGAAGCTTGTCAAAGGCAATCCTCCATTTGATGCTAGCTGCATGAGCAATCAGCTCAAAATTGTTAGACCCATGTTGGATGCGAGGTGGGATGCTCCTGGCAAATGCCCAAATAAGGTAGCACCAGAACTCGCCAAGTACAAGTAAGCATGATCGTTCCCCATCCCTTCCCGTTCTAGAATAACTATCATGATTAATAATTGTATTAGGTCTGTCCTATTTCCAAATGGGCTAGAAGTACTCAACAAAGACCCCGTCCCAGGCTCTAAAGCTAAATCTGTTGTTCAATGGGCAAAGTCTGATGGTTACCCTGAATTTTGCTGGAATGAGGCCCGAGCACAGAGGTCGAATGATGACAAAAGACCCCGGTGCGAACCCGGCCGCCTCAATGTTTACAATGTCACCTATGAAGACTGCCTTGACCAAGACCCCTGGGTGCTCTGTCATTGTACTGATGCACAGCAGACATTGGATGACATGGTAGAGCGAGTTGGCAAGTTACCACCTGGACTACGGAGCTACATGATTCATCTAGTTGCCTTTGAGAATGACTCCGTTGGTGGAGGCACTGTGATCCCTTGGAACATGATAATGATCTTTGGTGAGGCTCAAGATAGTGTGTATATGCATGAGGCTAGCCATTGCATTGATGGAGGATTTTACCAAAGTGATGTCTTCCAAGCTGCCAAAGCAAAGGACTCTTGCTGGCCAACCTACTACTCCAAGACTGGAGATATGGAGCTCTTTGCTGAGATTGGTGTGGCATATCTTTATGACAGGAGCGGCAAGACACTTATTCAGAGGGGATATGACCCATCCTGTCTCTCTAACGGGCTTAAGGCACTTGATGAGCATGTTGGCCTTAACTTTCAACGGGATGGCACCAAGTGTTTCAAGCGAAAACCAAATTCCAATGTGATTCACCCGTCGGATGCCGAACTACTGAGTCCGGAACCGTACATCAGCACAGCCATCATTGAGGACTTCTCTAACCCTGGCGATGAATCTTCGCAATTCTCCTCATTTTCAGTTTGGGGAGAGTATCCACGCAAAATCCACGGGCACCAGATCTAGTGTTACATGAAAGGTGCCAGACGAATGCTTCTCTGTGGAGGACTTGAGTGATGGGTACAAAAATTTTGTTTGAAATATCATGCCCCAGCCCTTGCTCTAGTGCATGCTTCCTGAATAGATACTGCCCCTCAATATGTTTCCCCACTCACCCCGTATTTGAAATGTGTGTAACAAGTTCTCCCTCTCGAGATGTGATGCGACTAGACGTGTTCACGGGTGGCTCTATCGAATGAATAAGAAATAGATATTGATGGCTGACGACTTAGTTGCTCCTTTCTCCTTGACGGATGATAATTTCTTCAGGCCTGGTGTCAGTATAGTTATTTTATGGCTGAGCTCAAGCGCATCGTTAACATTGGTTATAACGCCACTGGGTCCGGGTTCTCCACTAGTTGTAGGAGCCTCTTTCCAACAGCTAATTCAATTTAAATCACCGTTTGATATGAGCGAATGCACAAGCATTGGGGTGAATTTATATTAGTAGTACTATGTGTAGATTCTCTGTAAAAGAACAGCTGGGTTGTGGTACTTTTCTGCCAAGTGAGAAGCATGATGCTATGGCCGTTTTAAAGCTTACCCACTTACCGAATGCTGAAATACTAGGACCAATAGATATGTACTTTGAGATGTATCTAGTGAGGTTAATAATTCACTAAAAAAAAGGAGAAACTTTTCAACAAGTGTCTTATTCTCAGTAAATACGGGGGTGTGGAGCGAAAGTCCTTGCACTCACCAGAAATTTGAATGGAAATAAAAAATATATAAATTCTAAGGCATTTATCGACGGCATCATAGAGAATGACAACTGGCTTTCGCAGCAAATTTTTAGACGGTTTCGTTCACCGGGGACAAGTGAACTAGGATGGCTGATTTGATTTCTGGGACTTTTATGTCTGATTAAATAAGAGATAATACCTCATCTCCTTTTAAAGGGGAAGAATCTAACTACAGCTTTTTTACGCTTATACAAGAACAAGCTTTAGGCACTACATCCCCGATATCGTTTGTATTCCGCGCCTCCGTAATGTGGAGGTGTATTGTTTCAATTTTCCACGCACAGTTTGCCAAAGATTAACTACATACAACTTGCTGCTCATAAAGCTCACGAGATTGTTCATCTGGGGCTAGTAACTAGTTAATAGTAAGGCTTCGTTTGCTGACAAAAGGTTGCAGACTACAACCAACAGGTGAAGGAGCGCAAGATTGCACATATCGCGAGTCTGGTAAGTCGCAGGCGAATAAACAGAAGCTTGGGTGACTAGTCGATAACCACCTTATTGGGAGCGGAATAGAACAGCATGTATGAATCGAAAGAGAGATGAAAAAAAGGTCAAAATTGGTCTACTCCCACCCACCGACCCGGGTAGACCCCTGTAGTTGAAGGAACTGCAAAAACATATTAGAAAATGGCTATTACTTCAATATCAGGGAATACTAACTGCATGGCTGAATAAATGTATTCTCAATGAGGCTCCAAAGCGCGCAATTCGATAGGTCCGGCATTCTTTAGGAGAGACATAGTTAGGATGATTTTGCTATTTGATTAACGTGGGTGGACCTACTGATTGGTGAGCTTCCCATAACCACCACAACGCTCCATAATTCACTCGATTCGATATTCTTTACGGGATGCACAGTTAGGATGACTTTGCAACTTGACTGATGTGAACAGGCCTACCAATTGGTGAGCTTCCCGTAACCACCATGGCGCTCCAAAGCGTAATTCGATTGGTCGGGTATTTTTCTTTACGAGAGATTTGGTTAGATGGCATGGCGGCAAAGTAGGTGATAGAAGACTGACCTTTCGAATGGCTTTCCTTAGCCACCACCTACTTCTAAAGCGTACGCACTATATATCGGTTGGTTCGCTATTTACGGAGCATGTGGGGTTAGGATGAAATTGTAACATAAATAATGGGTTATAGAAGACTGACAGTCCGAAGGGCTTTGATTAGCCACCACATCGCTCCAAAGCGTATGATCCCGTTGGTCCATTATTTCTGTGCAACACAAGTCGTTAGTATGACATTGTGACCTAGTAGGTGATGGAATGCAGACCGTTCAAAGGGCTTGTCGAAGCCACCATGTCGCTCCGGAGAGTATAATTCGTATGCGGTCTTTGGTCCTTATAAGCTCGAAGAGCAAAATACAAATTGAGCTGCGGAAGTCTGACCTTGTGGAGGGCTGACACATTGCCACCATATGTTCCAAAAGTATGCCGTCCGGCGTGGATCTGCAAAATGAATCGAGTCTGCAAGCATGTGACAAATAACTGATGTGGTGGGAGAATATTATTGC